GGGGGGGGGGGGGGGGGGGTTGCTGGGTATTAGGAAATGCACGGACATCAGTTGAGTGGGGCACTGAAACCAATAATCAATAATGATGGGAGGATACCATACAGAGTAGCGATAACGACTAATTCAGTGCCACTTGGAATGTGGTGGTCTGCATCATTTAAATTGATTCATAGCCGACTCCAGGCTTCAGTCCTGATACTCAAAAGTTTCATTTGAGAGTTGTTTGTTGACATCGGTTTCTTTGAATTACCCAGTGACGAGTATACCTGACGACCAGCGCCTTCTGTCAACTCAGTTGCTCAGGAGGTTGGACATGCGGCGATGCGGAACCAAGTTAACGGCGGATCCACGCGCGAAAGATCTCTGCCAATCATAACTACGGAGCACAACTGCTCGTCGAATGTCAAGCTCAACTGCACTATTTAATCCAGCTCCACAAGCCGCTCGATCGAGACCAGAGGCTTGTCTTGTCATGTCAACGAGTGGCGCGAGACTCCTTGGCAGATCTACACTGATTTTCGTATCACGCAGTATCTGCTCAATGCCCAACAACCTCAATGGACACAATCATTCCGAAAGCTCTGAAGAGGGGAGACAAGATCGCGTTTATCTCGCCCTCCGCACGTCTTAATAATATTCTCCCTACTCCCCTTGCGCGAGGGAAAGCCTGTCTGGAGTCTCTAGGCTTCCACGTGCAGATTATTTTCTCTAGCCAGGCAACAACCACTATCTCAGAATCTATTCGCGTTCGCTGCGAGGAAATCCATGCCGCGTTCCGTGATAGCACGATTGCCGCCATTATTTGCACGATCGGCGGCGCGCATGCTAATGAACTGCTACCTTTCCTCGACTACTCCCTTATTCAAACAAATCCTAAGATTTTCGTCGGCTACAGTGACACTACCTTCCTTCACTATGCGATTCAATCTCAGACCGGCTTGCGCACATTTTACGGACCCAGTGTCCTTACAGATTTTTCTGATTTTCCTCAGCCTATACAACTCACAATCGACCACTTCCTTCATGTGCTGACTAAGGCGGGAATGTCAGTGGGTCCAGTTCCTCGGTCGTCCATCTGCTCGACCGAGCATAACGATTTCTTATTGAGCAAAGGAATACCCGACAAACCGCGCGAGACCGTCGATTCACCGTCGTGGAGATGGCTTCGGAAAGGCCGCGCTACTGGATATTTATATGGGGGCACTGTACCTTGTGTCGTGCGTCTTCAGGGAACTCACTACGCCCCCGCCTCGTGGAAAAACAAGATCCTCTTTCTTGAGTCTGCAATGGGCGATAACTTGCAACTGCCGTATTCTGTGTCCCAGTTCCGGAATAATCTTGTCGATCTCGCTCTGTCTGGCATATTACATGAAATTCGCGGACTGGTTGTTGGGCGAGGGTACAAATATGATACTCATATGCAGGATGAGCTGGCAAGTGTGATCGAGGAAGTCTTTGATGTAATTGTTGGTCGAAGTCGTGAGGAGCAGCTGCCGATCTTGATGAACGTCGACTTTGGCCACACGAGTCCATTCCTGACTCTACCCATCAACACGCTTGTGAGATTAGACTCTGCTCTCGATGAGTTTAACGTTCTGGAACCTGGAGTGCAGGCCTGATGAGGTAACCGGACTGTATGCAGGGTTTATCTGTGCAGCTGTGTGTACAGGTCTCACTTACTAATGGAGGTGAGAAGTACAGAGTGTTTGAAAGCGCTACTATCAAACCGAGCGCGTCCGTTCACTCCAACAAAGCACTTGATTATCATTTGTCACTAGACTAGTGCCTCGGACCCCACTGGCTTCTAATTGCAAATCCAAAAGCCCAGTCAATCAAAGCATCTCCCCTTCTTTCCCACGCACTGGTCAGGTATCTATCTCAGTAGCAAGGCTACAATGTCAGATATTAACACCACTGGGAGTAATGTAGCTCTGACGCCGCTAACATTTGAGATGGCATAGGCTATATAGTATAAGAGAAAACCATTGCTGTACTGGCCAAGATAACTCAGGCCGTGAGCTGACTGTGTCCCTCATATTTATGCCACTACTAGGATTGTCACTAGTAATAAAGGCCTTGCTAATTCTACTTTAAAATACATATACCTTCTTTCTACTAATATTACATTTATTACTTGGCCTGTTATCTTTATAACTGATAAGGCACGGCTACAGGTTTTATTCAAGCGCGCTACCGCGCAGCAAGTATTATATACTAGACAGTAGCTAGGATTTTTTAATTACATGTTAGCATGTATTATAGTACATCCAAGGGAAGATATATATACAGCCTGTCTTATATTACACTTTCTCTACAGTACTGATATATTAGTAGAACTGATTAACTAGCTATGAGCATGGGGACATCAATGACAGGGCCATGTATTTACAAGTCCTACATGTCACCGAGGATGCTGGGAAAATGCTGGTCAATTTACTCTGCCAGTAGATGTAGCCGCCGCCAAATACCACCAGAGTTTAATTTTGTTTTTGTTAACTGCGGAGCGAAAACTGTCTCTCTGACTTCATGGATCTCAGCATAAAGGTGAGGGTAGCGCAGTAAATCAGGGGATTTAGTAAATACTTTGACGCATTCTGAACGGAGGTGGCAATGTTCGTTATGGCCACCCATACCGCTAGTGCCCACAGCACAGAACCAAACATCTTTTTGTTACCATGGCTGACCAATTTTCTGGTCTTTTGAGACTGCTAGATCACTCGAAGTAGCAGAGTAAGAACCCCGCGGAATGCACCTGGGAAGGGGAATAGACAGAGACTGATTCTTGATGCGTGTGGCGCCGCCGCGTGGGGGCTAAGTCGGGCCCAGGCACCGAAGCTGCACGTCGACAATCCAAGCACAAGCTGGATGGATGACATTTGATAGATTGAGCCAATAAATTCACTTCCTTATCTAGCGCTGATGGCCCGTTTCTTTGAGTCTCACAGCCTTGTCTAACTCGTAAGAAATACGTCTTGTTTGACAAGAGTCATTGACCAGAGGAGCAACGCCTACCCTATTGATGGATGTATAATGGTGACGCAAAAGGACATACCATCTTCCCCCCCTTTTTTCTCCTTTTTTATGACACCCCTTAAATTGAATGTCAACGAACAAATAGATGGTCCTCAGTTTCCCCATCAGCCGTACTGTGCATGTAAACCTATGTTTCAAGCATTAGAATCCTTGGGGCTTGGAAACCCGTCTCCCACCAATTTAGGCCACTCCCCGCACTTTCCATGTAACATTCACCCGGACTAGCTCAGTTGGCAGAGCGCACGATTAATTTACCAAAATAGCGTGAGGTCGCAAGTTCGACTCTTGCGTCTGGGCTTCTTTTTGCTAGTCTCATCCTCTCAGCATCTTTGAAGGTCAGGTTACGATGAAATAGCATCTAATGCCACTGCCCGCCAGCCGGGTTTCTTAATTTCAAGACCGAACATTTCACTGTATACGGATTGCACGCTCCTTTGATTATTTGACTCTATGTTTTTTTGCACTTTCTTAATAAATAAAGGGAGCACGTCTAAAGGACAAACATGCAGATTTTTACTGAGTACAGGACATTGTTAAGGGGCTTGGGGGTAGGTAGACCATCCAATAGTTCGTATCGACTCGTTCAAACTGTTCCTCCACTGAGACATCATTGCTCGTACTGTCAAATCATTTTCGTCCTTGTGCATGTTGCATCTGAGTATCAAAACCTGTGCGAGCCATACCCTCACGTACTGTACAAGGGTAGTTGCACTGGACTCATACCGCTGTCCGAATTCCAGTGCACATTGGCGCGCGTCCTCTTTTCTTACGCGACTCATCGCCTCCTGGAGAGCATCCCTGTCGGCGATGTACGTATCAAAACAGACACACTCATCAACCAAAGCCAACGTGCTGGATACAAACCTGGTGTACCGGTAAGGATCCTTTTGGTGGAACTGGGGAAACGGGAGAAGCAGGATTTGGAGTTGGAATTTGGAGGGGAGAACAGGGGGGCTGCGATACGGGTCGCTAGTCCATTCTTCGGTTCGCAGCCCCTGCGCGAATGCTATTATTCGTTCTGCAATCGGCAAAACCTCGGTGCGACGATTGGGTTGGGTAATCCCTAGCGTAGAAAGTAGGTTCGTAATTCGGTCCAAAGACACGTCGACCTGATAAGACAACATCTTGAAGGGATTGCGAAGAAAGATTTCTCCACAGGCCACAATCTCATCCGCGAGATCTTCCCGGGTTATGCCATTTGGAACCTTGGGGTCCTTCTTGGCTACAATGTTTCCTAATAGCGCATGGAAAGATTTGATTCTAGCATGGACACCGAACCACCTACTCCAGTGAGAATATGAGTCAGAAGTCCGCCATGATCCGTCTTTCCCGGTCATCTTGTCATCGACGTTCCGGAGCCGTATGCAATCAAGATAGGCCAGCATCCAAGCCCGGTACCTAAGAAGAAATTCCCGGGGCAGGTATTCAGACCATCGTTCCATTAATTTTTCAATCAGATCTGGCTCAAAAGGGCCAAAGTCAGTCACCGACCGCTCGTCGGGCGTGAGATCAAGTGGGGAAAGGAATTGGTGCGTCCATCGATTATGTTGTCTTGTCGATTCGTCAAGGAGCGGTAGAAGCGCGTTGTAGGTGTAGTGTTCACGATATCTTGCAGGCAGTTTGTCGTAGGCATCATTGGTGAACAAATTGAGAAGGGGTCGTTGCCAATCCACCCTCGGAAGCTCGGCGCTCTCTGATTGCAACCAAGATCTACAGTCGGTGGTTTCGCTGGGCACTGCGGCGTAGGATGTGAGCGATGTAAATGTTTCGTAGGCCTGTTCATTGCCATCGCACTCCTCTATGATCTTCAGTAGAGCCCTGCACACTTCTACCCGGACATCAATATGATTGCTGGCATGAAAGAGATCATTCAAACCCTTGACGGCAGCAAGGGGTGACACGCCAGATTTGCTTTCCGCCAGCATCGTAGCCAGCATCTTCACCGTTGTGATCTTAATTACCGTCCCTCTTGTCGGAGGTTTCAAGCTTGCTTTCTGCTTCTGCTCTTCTAATGCTTTGAAAACATACGCAGTGAAATCGCCTATAACCCGGTCCGCATTTGGGCGAGTGAGGGCCTCGAGGAGCGACGAGGGGAATGCCATCCGGTGCCACGACGAAGCTTCTGGGAATAGCTGAAGCGCTTTCAAACCTAGCATCGCCGCCAGTTCAGGCCTATCTGAGCGCCGCACCAGTGCCATTGTTCTAAATGCAAGTTGCTGAACTAGTGCATATTTTGGCGATGTGCTTTCAAGGACGTGGAGAGTTTTCAAGAGGGACAGCGAAAGGTCACACAGCAGGGTAGGTGGTACTATTTTAACCAAGCGATTAAGAAGACGAACAGCTACAGTTGCTGCTTTCTTCTGGTTGTCGATGGAGGACAGAAATTCGTAATCAAGGTGCACTGGTGGATACCGAAGAATATCTGTATTTTCGGGAAATGGTTTGGACAATATGCGGTCCGTATTGCGGGCTAGACTGTTGAGAAACAAGAGGGCGGAGGCAATCAGAGATTCTCGGTACTGGGAGGAAAGACTCCAGGGGCCATATTTGAGCAACCATATCTCCCAGGTCTTGGGCTTCTCAGGTGCTGGCCGCCCGATGGAGACATTGGGATATGCCAATGATGTCTCTAAAGACTTGTCCTCCTTCTCGGCAAACAATCGAACCTGTAATAGTGAACCCTCCCAACAGCCCTGTCCATTTTGTGGTATATCTGCTGATCGGGGCTCCCATTCGAGGCTTGGTGAGTCGCGTGACAAGTTCTTGAATATATCCACAGAAGGCAACTGGGGAGGGTCGATGGTGCTCGCCAGTCTCCGTAAGCTTCGGGATTCTTCCAGCACGGGGCACATTATTCTCCTGAAGGCTTCCAGATGGCCTGCAGAAGATGGAATTCTTTCCGAGTAATGCCTCCAAATCTCCAGTATCATTTTCCCCCGTTCAGCGACCGGTAGATGATCGACGTAAGCCCCTATTGCAAATCTCAAGCTATCCACCAAGTACACTTTGCGCTCGTCCTCCTTCACTGTTTGAAGGAGTAGACCAGGATTGGAGAAGACAACTTCGGTCACTCTTTGAGTTACAAAGGCGCTAGGCCCTTGCGATTTCATCACCGCTATCGTCCATTCCAGCGAAGGAAGGAAATACTGAAGCGGTAGACCTCGCGGTAGGCCCTCGGACAAAGTATCGGTTTGTGGGCTCCGAATACTGCGCTGTTTAACCCAAAGATGATCTCTGTGCTGTGCGAGCGAATCCAAGAGCTTTAGAATCGGGACTGGTGGGTTCGGCGGGCAATGGAGGTCTGTAAGTGGGCCAGACAATTGTCCCCACCCAAGGGATTCGTATCCTTCCGTGCTACCCAATGTTTCATATCTGAGCAGTATTGGCACTATTCCCTCGAATAACCTGTCCACCACGTCCTGTTCGCTCCCTAGACCACGATAACACAAGCGCTTCACCGCATGTATCCGGCTAGAAACGACAAGCTTAAGTAGCCGGCCAAAACCTTGATCCTGGTTGATCTTATACCACGGCTCTTGCACTGTTAGAAGCGCCTGTTCCAGGAGATGAGATATCACCTCGTCAGCAATGGCTACATTAGCGGCCAGCTCCTCTAGAGTTGGCGATACCACACACGATAGAACGGATGCAACATCCTCCCGATAAATTCTTCTTGCGAGATCTGGTCTCACGGACTGGAGAAACATGTAGTGTTAGCAATCTGCTCATACATGATGAGATAGAGAATTGACGTACCGGATCCCGGATGAAGCGCGATGTCCAATAGATGACACCTTGCACATGGCGAATGTCTCGGCTCATCCTTGCGGTAGTGATCGTCAGCTTTGCCCACTGCAGCCGGTCTTCGGGGTCACGGGCTTTAACAGCCTTGCGCTTTACGTCTTCAATTACTGTACATGGCAGATAGGCATCAGCATGATTCTTGATACAGACAGGAAACCTGACTCACATTTACGGGCTACTAAGTTAGCAGGGTCGGTCGCTTCCCTGTCCGCAGCTTCCAAGTAGACTCGAATCAAGACATCCCGGAAAGATGACGAGTCCCCTGCGCTCGCTGGCCACTCGAAACGGAAAGACCCGGTCAAGCTCTTATTCGGCGATAGTAGTGTTGCGCGCTCAAGTAGCCATGTTGCATCGCGACCGGGGAGAGACATGAGAAACGACGAACTCCATGGCAAAAGTTTGCGCTCCTTCTCTGACGGCATAGGCTGCTCCAGATCAATCTCAAGGGACTGCAGGTGCTTGCATAGAATCTTGAGTAGGGGAAGCCTTGCCTTCGCAATGGCCTTGGGAAGAAGAGTTCTGAGGCAATGAGCAAATTTATCGTTTGATAGGGTGCAAAAAGCTGTTCGAAGCATTGTCTCTAAGGAATCCCTGTGGGTCGTTCGTGGTCGGGACGGATGCAGTCGCTCCCGATAACGTCCAGCAGGCGCATCAGAAACCGACTCTAGATGTGCCTCTGGAAAAGCAGCAATTACCCATAATTCTATTAGTGAAAATATGAGGGGTACCCAATCGCTGAGCTTCCGTTCCGAATGTCCCAGGTCTGGTAACACCTGCTCAAGGAAGGCAAAGATAACGTCGAAAGGCACTTTTCGACGGCGAGCGGTTGTGAGAGCCAGATCGATGCACCGAACGCGAGCATGCCAATCGACCGCACGTGCCTTTTCCAAAACACCCGAGTCACTTGCGAAAAGGTCCAAGGTGATATCGATAGCTGGGAAGCCGGCTTTCCTGCCGTGACCGAGCCGGGACTCGTAGGGTTCACTCGATGTAAGCAACGCAGCGAGATGCTGGTCGAGCAAACGCCTCCGGAACGGAGGATGGACCGGAACTACCCCGACGGCAATATCCCTTAGTAGCAACATGTGAGACTTGAGCAATTGTCGCATCAAGGAACCGGTGACATCGTCGGACAGGGGTGTTGAGAAGACCTTCGTCAGAGTGGCGTCGCTGGACAGGTTAAACAACGGCATTACGTCCTCCAACTTGAGTAGCTGTTGAGAGTTGTACCGAACCTGCATCGATGGAGGCTTGAAAAGATCCGGGAGCAACAGATGAATCAGCTCATCGATCGCTTGCCGTTTCAGAGGATCACTGGTGTTTGAGCACGAGCCGATGGCTCTTGCCAGCCGCCTAGCGTCCTGGATGCTAAGCTTCTCAAAGATCTCCTTCATACCGGCTGTGCCTCCCACTGTCTTCCAACCGTTTTCCCACCACTTCTCTGATCTCAGGGCGCATTTCAGCACGTCTATGCCGGTCTTGCGCACACCACGCGAGACCTCATCGCGTAGGGCGTCCCCAAGGACGCAAGGAAATTTTTGATGGGCAAGAAATAGCCATACGGCGAAAATTTTGGGTGTTATTCCTCCGTTATGGACACAATGTAGTAGATAACGGTTGGTGTTCAAGGCTTGTGTCTGTGAAACCCCGTCGGAAAGTAGGGAGGGGAAGTAATTTGCCGCCTGTTGCGGGCCGAACCAGGGAGTAAACAGCGAAGGATCAACGGCCATCACGTATATACCAGATGACGGAGAAGGGCAGGAAAGCCGTGGATGGGCAGTGGATAGCTGACGGCCATCCTCCCTCTTTAACAATCTTTTATTTTTCTCGATCGAGTTGTACTAGTATTGCTAATGAGTCATGTTGGGGAGGGAAGAGGGAAGGCTGACCAAAGGGGACACTCTCAACAGGAGGAGCGAGGGCATGCGGGGTCCTGATGGGGTTTAGCCTCGGTGTCTCGGATGAACAGCGAACCCACACTAACTGGATTAGCGGATGTTAGTTAGTTCACTAATTAATATTTAATTTACTAGAATTATTCTACTACTTGGTAACTTTCAGCTGCAATACGTTCCTTTTCATGTGAAATGATAAGCAAGAATACTGCTATCTCCTCAATCGTAGTAGGGATACAAATAGTACTACGTGTCTCGTGCCCAAATGGTTCTCAAGGTCTTGACGACGGAGATTATAATTCACTCCCATGGTTTCAGTCTGACGAGCATATATATATATATATACTCACCTTCAATTACTTACAAGTATTCGTTTAGCAAGTCAAAACTGACGCCCCTCAAATCATTATGTGTGTTGACCCCTCGGAGATCATCTCTACGGGGAATGTGAATCAACTAATCCTTCAATAGCGCGTAGCATTAGCACTTTATCCAATAACGAAACGACACCGTTAACTTGAGCCCAATGCTGTCTTTAACGGAGTAGTGCAGTTGGTATATATCGTACAGCAATATGTAGCCCAACCTCGTTTCTGCCAGGCTAATGATCGAACAAGCTATCCCGTCGAATCTGGATGGTTTCCAGTCTCCTCGTCGGCGTGAGTCTTTATTGTGGAATGCTTGCGCAAGTGCCATCGGTGCACCAGGGACCCGCAGCCGATTTGTGTGATCGCCTGTCCAAGCACTTGTACCACCCGCCTCAATGGCCGAAGGACTGCAAATAGACACCAACCTGCGAACTTCAGAAGATATGCGACATAATGGTCTGGGATCAATTTCAGCACCGCCGCCCAAGGAATACAAACCACCGCACATCCAAGACAGATTGCCCACTGGGTGCCATTCAATCTGACCACGCCAAACGCCGCGCCGCCCACGAAGATAATGAGTATCTGGCCGCCCACCATCAGAATATTGATCACGATAAACCACGTGTTCTTCCAAACACCCTCGAGGACATTAAACTTGTTGTCCAGCCGGCGACAGTTGAATTCGTTGAAGATCTGCATCCATACGAAGGTGTTGAAGATAATGGTGTTGAGCTGCAGTCTTTCACTCTGATCATCCATGTCGAGACTCAATATCTTGTCCCCAGCAAAATATAGTGTGAAGCACAACGCCAGCTTGTAGATGGATTGGCCAAGCATTAGCTTCCACATGGTCACGGTGAACAATGATGCGTTCCGGGGAGTGGGGGGACGCTCTAATATTTCCGGGGTGGGCGGATCGGTCGCTCTATCTTAGGGTCAGTGGATTGTGCAAAAGTATGCTTGCGATGACCACCAATGTGCTTACAGAGCTAGCGCTGCAAATGTGTCCATGATTAGATTCAACCACAACAATTGCACTGCTTTAAACACGCTTTCGTTGGAGCTATTGTATATGGCGGTCACAACAGTCAGGCATACTGCCGTGATATTTACTGTCAATTGAAACTGCGTCCATCAGAACTGTCCATACCTTGGGATGCCCTCTAGGATGGACCATACCTGCAAAAATTTGGCCACAGCATCATTGACGCACCGGCCCCAGGCTATCGCAGTGACAATAGACTTAAAGTTATCATCCAAAAGGATGATTGAACTTGCTTCTCGCGCCACTTCAGTTCCACTTAGTCCCATTGAGAAGCCCACATCGGCTGACTTGAGTGCCGGGCCATCATTGGTCCCGTCACCAGTCACGGCAACAATTTCCCCAAGGTGCTTTAAACGGTTTACAAGAAGCTGTTTGTCACTTGGAGATGAGCGAGCCAATACTTGAAGGCGCGGGATGATCATATCAAGTTCATCATTATTTAGCTTATGAAGCTCGGGAGCCTCAATAGCAATACCGGCATCCGTCTTAATACCGCAGGATTCGGCTATCGCCAATGCAGTGTTAAGGTTGTCACCTAAGATGCAGAAGTGTCAACACGACCCAGAAATCCTGAGATTTCAACTTACCGGTCACCATCTTGACCTTGACGCCGGCTGAGTGGCACTGCTGAATTGCATCTGTTACCTCCGGTCGCAAGGGATCGTGAATCCCAAACAGTCCAATCCATGTCATATCTCCAAAAAGCTCCTCGAACCCGATGCCGGCCTTCTCTTGGGACTCGTTTCCAGTGACTAGTTCCATTGCGATATCACGATATGCCAGCCCTATGGTGCGTAGCGATGCAGAGGCGTACGCCTTGATTGCCCGATTCAAGGTTTTATGGTCGGTCGCACTCATTTCTAGAGTTGATATATCCCTTTGGGTGGATGGTCCTGGGGCGACGATGGTTGTACATGCCCTCAGAACTACCTCTGCTGCTCCCTTTACAAGTACACGACACCTAGAGTGATCGACACGGTACACCAACGCCATTGCCTTGCGGGTTGAGTCAAATGGATAGATCTGTAGAGTATCAATATCAGCCCGCTCTCGGCTGATGTCATGCACCCCGAGGTGCTCCTGCACCAGGTGCAAAAGTGCAATATCGGTCTTGTTTCCAACCAGCTCCAACCGTCCTTCCCGCTCTTCTTTGAATGCAGTGGAGTTCGCGGTTATGCTTTTGACGAGTAGATCACGAAATGCCACAGGGTATCGGTTCATGGCTTCTGGAAAGCTAACCGCGACATCCCCCGGGCTAGAGGCGGCCGTATGTAACTGTTCGAAGGAGTCGACTATACCCAGTATGCCCAGAGCAGTTGTCATTTTGTTCTGTGTGAGCGTGCCGGTCTTGTCTGAGCAGATAACAGTTGCATTGCCCATGGTCTCGCACGCGCGCAGTTGGCGAACCAGATTCTGTTCTTTAAGCATACGGGCCGTCGCAAAGGCTAGCGCTAGCGTCACAGCGAGTGGCAGTCCCTCTAACGAAGGTTAATAAAAGATTGCTCTGTGAATAGAACCGAATTGTCCAGAATGAGAATACCTGGGATCGCGACCACAATTACCGTTACTGCGACAATCAAGATATCCATGAAGATCTGGCCTTTTTCTGTAGACGATGCGTCATTTTCTGGCAGTTGAGCCAGAAAGCGGAATAGAAGAACAAAGAATAGCAGGAGAGCTGCCCTGTGGAGGGAGTGCGTTAGTACGCTATCATGGCCAGAGCAAGAGTAGGCCTTACCCAAGTCCGAACCAGCCTATCCACTTTGCCAAGCGACTCAGCTTGACCTGCAGAGGCGTTGGGTCACTTTCAACGGCAAGTCCAGCCATAATGCGCCCATGAGTAGAGTTAGGTCCCACACTTAGCACCAGATAAGTTCCCAGTCCCTCGAGGATCTTACTTCCAGATATGATGAATGGGTCCATATCTTCGTTTGAGACTTTCGCGGTAGCCGAATCGAATACCTCGAAACCAGTGTGTTTTTCAATATGATCAGACTCGCCTGTTGCCATTGACTCATCGCATCTTAGCCCGTAAGATGTGACTACGACTCCATCAGCTGGTGCACAATCTCCAGGCTCGAGATGCACGATATCTCCGACCGTCAGATCGTGAATGTGAACCATTATGGACTGATTGGAACGGATGACACGGACTTCACGATCCACTTTCTACACTGTTTAGCCCAGACATGAAGGCAACGGGGTCACCAGGCTGAAGCATACCAACTTATTCAGACGTACGAATTGTCTCTCCTTCTGCCAGTCATTTACGGCCGTAGCCGAGACGACAATGAAAATTGCCACGCAAACAGCCACACCCTCGATCCAGTCTACCTGCGACTGTCCGCTGGCAGCTTCATAGATGCCTAACGATAGCGACACAACTGCAGCTGCCGTGAGAAGAAGAATTATTCGGTCATTGTAGGCATCCCACAGCAATCGTCCAAACCCTTTTCGTTTTGTCGCAGGCAATACATTGCGCCCGAAAACCCTTACGCGATCGTAAAATGGCAAGCCATCCGTTTTGCCTCGAGCTGCATGAACTTGATTGCTGAGTAGCGGTCGTTGCGATGTTGTGGTCTTTGCCAATGCGACCTGTTTCACGTCCTCGAGAGAGATACATCCTGACAGAAGGGACTCATCGGACTGTAGCCCGGCAGTTAGATCGGTTCGTAGTCCATACTCCAGTCCATAAAGTCCACCCAAAGAGCAGAACCCCTCCACTGATTTCGGGTTGAATAGATCGTTTAGCTGGGTCGGCAAAAAAGCGAAACAGTTGCCGCCATCGGGTCCGTTTTCCACCCTGAAGCCAGGCACGGAGGGCACAACAGCGCTGGTCAGAATCCCCTCCGAATTGTTAGAATCGCGGGTACTCATTCTTTCAGCATTTCATGGACGACATCGTTAATGAGGCTAGTAGTCTCAAGATGCCATCCGTGTTTATAACAGAGTATACATAGGTCTTGATAGCCATGATGTATTGAGGCTGTGCTATGTACCTCTCTGGGAAGGAGTGAACCATGGTACAATGATCCCGCATAAAAAGGTGGTCGGAAAGCTTATCAGGCCTCAACTTCCTGGTGGCCTCCCTGCGCCGCTTGACAGAATATAATGAACAATACTTGATGTGCCCCGCTCCTGCTTCAGCTGTTCAGAAATATAATCGAGTGGGAACATATTGGATGAGAAATCTATTGTACATGAGTCTCGGTGCTGCCAGCCAGCTCGTCGGTATGGCGGTTAAAGTTGGATAGATAACGGGTCTACCATATTTCAACGCTCTCGGCAAGCACTGCCTCCCTTGGCTTTGTCATCGATTGCTCTTGAGGATATTGATGCATCCGAGTGACTTGCAAAGTTCAGGCCAAAGGGTGAAGTAACCGTTGGGGAAACTATTATCATTCATCTCCAACTTCGTGTGGAGTTACACCCCTTTAGCTTTGAGGACTTCGCCGTGTAGCGCTACTCACCATATCTCTGACGCCACCCGCTTGAGGCTCTTCCATATCCTTTGACGGAATATAGATATGCTTTGAGGACATGGTATGCTATATCTGCAGAAAGGCAAGGTATTTAGACTTGAATGGTGCTTGCAAGGCCACCATATAAACTGTCTGCCAACGCCCGCTAGACCGTATTCATGTACTCACAGGGCAATATTGAGCTTGTATTAGAATACGTAGAGTAGGATAATCGTAGTACTCATTCTATTGTGTAGCTATCATTTGCAGGCACAGTGTTGGCGGGGTAGCACGCGGTACCTGCCCCCTTTGAATAGTCAACTCACCTTTTCTGATATACCGAAAATAAATACCTTCAAGCGTGTATCTTATTGAATTTCTACTCATTTGAATCATTTATCGTGTGTTCATTGTTTGCCTATCAAGTTTCGGATATGCCATGAATGAAGCAGTATGCATGGCTTGGGGACTTTGTACCTTGAAATGAAATTTGATAAATCGGTCGTTTTCCTTATTCCCTTATCGGTGAATATGAGAATTATTGCCTTCTTTACCCCATGTGTTGATCGAAATCACTTTGGATTATGTAGACAGGGACTAACTGGGGGAAGCAGGTCTTTCATTGCAAATCGCAGCAGGGTCTGTACGGTTATTCTCGATTATGATTCACTAGGATACACTGGGTAGGAATATTCCAGGTATGGGGGAATCGAGTTGACTGTGCCGCAAGGGGCAGATCCTGGTGGGGTTCTGTTTAGTCGGAGAGGTCTATCCCCCTAGTCTAGAAACTATGCTGGTCTCGGTGGAACGGGTTTTAACAGACAACGAAGCCTTTGGCACTCTGAGCAAAGTCGAGCCAGTGTCGCCAATTTGTCTACGTATAACATATTTCACATTAACTAAGGACCTAAGATTAACTGTGCCAGGGCAAATGAACGAATGATAGGCCGAGGAAGAGTCCGATTGTAACCGAAGGGAAAGGGAGGGAAAGGATAACGGCTTTAAACGGACCACACCAGGAGAAGTTTCTGAACAAGGTGGTATCACCCTAACCAAATCCCGGGTCAATAGATGCTCATAACGCACACCAATAGGAAAGAAAATATTTTCCTCGAATCCTGCCAATCAATAGCTAGAGACAGGGATTCATGGACTGACCGACAAGTTGCGCGGCGCTAGACATGCATGCGTGCTGATATCACGTGTTGCAAGCTCCTCGCGGCCCCCAAGACTCTCGTCCCTCTTGGCTACGCGATCCTTTTCTGTAAGATAGCTATCTATAATCCCTATTACCGAAATGGCATCTCTGAACATCCTGATTGTTGGCTGCGGCATCGCAGGCCCCACACTGGCGTCCTTCCTTCTGCTGGCTGACATCCCCGCTGCCCAGAAGCCTCGAATAACCATTCTAGAGCGGGAGTCTACCCGTAACGCTCATTTGCGCGGCCAAAATATTGATATTCGCGGTGCGGGTGTGACGATCATCCGCAAGCTCGGACTGGAGGCCCAAATCAGGGCTTCCACGACCGGGGAAGAGGGCGTCCGGATGGTAGATGAGCGTAATCACATCTGGACGGAGAATCCAGCAGATAGAACCGGTACGATACAAACAGGAACGAGTGACATTGAAATACTCAGAGGTAAGCTGGCTGAGTTATGCTGGAAGAACAGCCAGCGAATTAGCGCCGCAGCCGAACGCGACGGCGCCGCTGGGATCGAGTATATTTTTGGTGATTATCTCGACGATATCCAGCAGCAAGGAAACCAGGTGCATGTGCGCTTTGCCAAGAGCAAGGAGACAAAAAGCTTCGACCTCTTGGTGGGAGCTGATGGCATGCAGAGTCGGACACGGAAGATGGTCTGGGGCGAAGAAGGGGAACAGGAGCGACTGAAGCGGTTGGGAATGTTTGCCGGCTTCTTCAGCATCCCACGAGAGGAACACGACGACAACTGGAGGCGGTGGTTTCATGCACCCGGCCGACGTGGCATTATGTTGCGACCAGACGGTCTCGGTGTGAGGTCCACAGTTCTCATGTATGTGGTCAATGACAAGGATCCAAGATTCGTCGAAGTCGCGACGAATGGAAATGGCGGCATCCAGGCACAAAAGGCACTCTTGGAAGAATATTTCGAGGGCGCCGGGTGGGAGTGCGAGAGAATCATTCGGGAGATGAAGGCAACAGACGATTTCTACTACGACGCGGTGTCACAGGTGAAGATGGACAGCTGGAGTAAAGGAAGGGTGGTGCTTCTTGGAGACGCTGGGTAAGTCAACGTTCTCTATACTGTCACTTCAGCCTTTGATTGGGCTTCGTCCGGTAGACCCTACAAAGACCTAGAAAGGTATTGTGCATCGCCCATCTCGGGTCTTGGCACAACGTTGGCTTTTAGCGCAGCCTACAAGCTGGCAGGTTACCTCCAGCCTTACATCAAGGGAGAGAGCACGGACATTACAGAAGCCCTGGCACTATACAATAAGGAAATGCGGCCTATCATTGAGGATGCGCAACAACTAGCACCCGGCATGCCACATCTCATAAACCCTGAAACCGCTTGGGGCATCTGGACGATGAGAAGTCTTATCTTGGCACTATCCTATACAAGGGCCTTCTTTTACATCATCAAGCTATTTGGAAGGGTTCTTCATCTGGGGCCTCAGGCAGCGGATTATGTCCCAGTTGAGGAATTCGGCTTCAAGGATATGTCAGTGTGGGGGTTGCAGGATACAGCTGAGTAGAGGTATGGAGTGAAGCTGGCTCACTCATCGTCCCATTTCCGAAATGCTGATTTACACCTTCATGCAGGCTCCGGTCCATGATTCTACCAGCAGGATGTCCGGCATACAGTATGCCCATCTCTCAACGTTGAGTGTTCTGCCTGCCAGTGCAGATGCGGCTTTGTTCCGGCGATAACCATGCAACAGCTATCTTTCACTCTAATTAGCATTAGCAAAAGTGATCTGCAGTATTTCAGAGAGCTGGGGATAAAGTCGTTTACCTTTACGCTGCTCCGGGGCCTGAGTGGCAGAAAGTTTTTCGGGAGCGAAAGCAACCCACGAACCCGACAAGACCAATGTCACTGTCAGAAACGGCCGGGTGGCTAGAACCAAGGAATAAAAGCTTTCTCTTTCCATTTCAAAACATAAAACAAGCAATCTAAAGAAACAGCAAAGGGATGTTCTGTCCTCTGCTGCGGACACCAGGGGTTTAGGTCGCTGTAATGAACACTGCCACCTTCACTCAATTTACCTTAAAGTTATTACTAAATCCCTTAATTTACTGCGCTAGCGTCAGTGAGTTGACGCAACTTGGTCATCTCTGCCGTCATCCATGAGGTCAGGGCGACAATGTCTGCTCCGGAGTTGACAAAGTCAAAACCCTGATGGTACTTGGCCGCGGCCACATCTGCTGACAGGGCAAAATGACCGGCATATTTCCCCGCATCCTTGGCAACTCGTAGGACATGCGTTGTCGCCTCCTGTACTTCGGGAATATTTGCGTGGTCCAAGGCAAAGTACCCCATGGATGAGGCCAGGTCATTGGGCCCGACAAAGAGCATGTCGATGCCTGGAACTGCTGCAATGGCAGCACAATTTTCAACCGCCGTGCGGGATTCAATCTGCACGATGATCATCACATTGTCATTAGCGTGCGTAAGGTACTCTCGGCCGGTCTGATTGAAGGCAGCGGGGGCAAACATGGCGCCTGCACCCCGCATTCCCTGCGGCCACTGCGATGAGGGGTATTTGCACCCTCGTACAATAGCCTCAGCTTGTTCCTGGCACGATGATTAGACGAGAAAGGAAGAGCAGTCACGAAATACGGGCCTCTGACGGACCTTGGTCTCACACATGGGCACCATGATTGCGTGGGCACCGCAGTCCAGGGCGCGCTTCATCATCCAGGGCTCCGAGGCCGGAATCCGCACGATGGGCGATACCCCAGCCGAGGATATGGCCCCGACCTGCAGGTACATAGCCTTGTCATCGATGTTCCCATGCTCACAGTCAAGCAATACCCACTACTAGTATATCAGAGCTGTAGCAAAAAAAGTATAAAGTGAGGCTGGCTGCACGTACATCTGCCCCAAGATGCGCCACGGTGCGTGCCAACGAATAGCCCGGAAATTCCAGCCACTGTCCGATAGATGGCCCTTGCCGCGCGGTCGCACGCTCGAGTGAGGCCTGCAGTCGCGTCTTGCCAGTTGTAGAGACAACGGGAGAAGTAATAGAAGAGATCATAGTAGAAAAGGGTCGTACGCGTTTTGACGTACTGGGACTATTACTATTAGTAACACATGTGTCAGTAGTAGCAATATATAAATTGGAGATACGGTCGGATCACGGCCCGAGGTACCTTATCCCTTAACCACTACACCGAATTAGTTTCTCCTGTGTTACAGAGTGTACGCCATCTGGAATTTCACCGGCATCAGAGCTGCACTACTACTACCAGCCGGTGATTTGATTGGCTGTCATTGTTGCCTCTTGCTACTGAGGTAGATAACTGACCAGTTCGGGAGAGAAAATGAGGAGATGCTTTGTTTGACGGGATTTTGCTAAGTGGGACCCACGACTTATCTAACAACAGTCGATAACTGACTAGTGGACCACCTTAACTAGTACTTTGTTGGAGTCAACGCACGGATAACGCCTGATAAACTTTGTGATAAGCAGTAACTCCGCCGATAAAAGTGGTCTGATAACGATTTCAGCAAGACCGCGGTTGCTTCGCTTTCTCTCTCTCCCCCGCAAAGTTCTCTTCCCCCGCCATGAAACTACGACGATATATCATCCCTGTTTCCTCGTCGCATCCCCATGGCTTCCACAATGCACAAAAAGTCTGACCGTCGCGTTTGGAAGGCCTGTGTCGCCTGCCGACGGAAAAAGGTAATGTCCCTGTGCCTTCTCGGTTTACCGTGTCCACAGCTTTAGTCAGTCCGCTGATCTGAACCGGATCTCAGGTAAAATGTGACGGAGAGGATCCATGCCACGGCTGCCACTCACGCAACGAGAAATGCGAGTATCCTGAGACTAACGACAACGCCGCGGCCAGCCGACGCGATGCGAGCTCTTTGGACAGGCAATACCAGAATCTTGAGGCGTTAGGATTACGGCTTGAGGGTCTCGCCCAGACGCTGTCAGAATGCATCCTTGCCATTCGCGGTTCCAGCAAGGACATGGAATTACCCCCTGACCCGGGTTCGGGGTCTGGTTCACGGTCAGCATCGAGGACGGGATCCCTCCCTGCGGAAGAGGGCACCGAGCCGGATGATGATGTTCCTGGCAACGATCACCCAGACGCTCCACCAACTCCCACATCATACAAAGCTCGGGATCGCGTCGGGCATATGGTACCTGATTCGTATGGGCGTATGCGGTCTGTTTACGGATAGCCTAGCAAATTTCTCAACAAGGGTTGCATGACTGATGAATTCATTACAGATACCTCGGTGGTGCAGCCAATAATCTGGTTATCCAAGCAGTGCAGGGCTTGTCGCCGTCTTCGGGCCACTCGCCCCATTTAACCCAAGCTTCGATCCCCCAGGCCTCGGTCGAGATGCCCTTCTTCCAACATGGACAGGTCTGGCCCGAGCTCCCCTATCTGCCGTCCGCGAATGAACTGGCCCGTCCACCCCAATATGTAGCAGACCTCCTTGTTGGTGTTTACTTCGACCAGCTGCATTATACATTTCCCATTCTTGACAAGACGCGGTTTGTTTCCCAGTATCACGCCATGGCTGCCGGTAGCCCTGTGGAACGCGGATTCCTGTCCGTTTTCTTTGCCGTTTGCGCCTGCGCCTCAGGGCTACTGCCGCGCGAACCCGGTGCTGTGGGCCTCGTCGGCATTGACTACTACCAAAAAGCTCTCCTGCTTTTTTGGGCCTCCAGCGGTGAAGTCTTTCTGGAGCAAGCCCAGTGTTTGGGCTTACTTGCCGTGTGCTCCGCAGGCTGGAACACCGTGGCCCAGAGCTGGCGTCTGGCGGGTCAGGCGGTTCGCATCGCCCAGGATTTGGGCCTTCACATCGCAAGCCTGGTATGTCCGGAAATCCCTGTGCCACTGGCATTACTGGGCTCTCGCTTCTTAGGTTGACCATACTACAGAAGGATCCCCACTTTTCCACCAGCGACCACGCTGCCGACGCCCAAGTCGCCCAAAGGGTTTGGTGGAGCTTGTTTACACTGGACTGGTAATCACCCCAGACTGCATTTGACCCCTTCTATGAACTCAGGAAAAGGCATAAGAGCATATAGACATCGATAAAGTTCCGTGCGGAGAAAAGAAGAAAGGTTCCTAACTTGGCATACAGCCTCACTTCCATCTGCCTCGGTCGTCCCATGGCCGCCACCTTGGACGACTGCTGTTGCGAGCTGCCCTCGACCGACGGGGACAGTGCGCCTATGTCTGGCTTCGTCGCCTTCACTCGCCTGTGTCGGATAGCCGCAGAGGTGCATCGCATACATGGGTCGCCGCCAGTCCGGGGAGGGTCATGGACGGCGCGCTGGCAGCGTCTGCCGACAGTTGACCAGCTGGTCGGCGAGCTGGACAATTGGTTACAAGACCTGCCGGACGAAATTCGATTTTCCGCCAACAGGATCCAAACAGGGCCCAGTCTCACCATGTGCTTTATCGTCTTCATTCTTCACTCAGCTACCATCATGAACTTGTATAGGTATGTTTGTTCGCTCCACTCGACCTCGCAACCGTCGTATATCGTCTCGAATATAATTGACTGACCCATGTTGCTCGCAAGGCCCCTGGTCGGACAATCTCTGTCTACCCCCACCGATCCAAGTAGCGAATGCATAAGTGCGGCGCGGAGCTGCATTCAGGCTGCAGAGCTGATCCGCGAGCGGGTGCCTCCCTCCCATCACCTGGCCTTCTGCGTGCAGTATCTCACCATCTCCGGCATTCTATTGTGGACTATGGAGGACCCACAGACAGAAAAGCCATCTTACCATCTGACCGACGTCTATCAAGCCCTACAATCTCTGGTTGAGTTGGAGTGCGTCTGGCCCTGCGCTAGCCGTGGCCGTGCAATTCTGGAGCGTCTTTTGCAGCATCCCCGGGGGGACGCGAGTTCTTATCTGCCCTCTTTGCCCGTACTCGACGGACTTTGGGATCCCTTTCCATCTACTGACACAGATATGGCTTTTGGTGGCCTCTAAGGGTAAATTGGCATGTTGTCGTATTTTTGTACGCATCTATCTCCGCGAAGGTGACGCAGCAGTAGGACCAATTTGAATTCTTTAACGGGGAAGTAGTGATGAAGGAATGCGGGATAAAGCTGTTATAGAGCAAACTACCTAGCCACTCGTATTCGTCACCATGGAGGCGAAGGTCCGTCTGAAACCCATGTTGCTGGCGTAGGAGAGTGTTGTCTTGTCGAGAAAATAAAGCATATACACAACACACATCAAAGGCATTATATGCCAGTCAATTTTGCGTACCAAAGTCGCTTCCTCGACTGCGTTCAGAGAGAGCACCTCTCCAACGCCCACCATCGTCACCCATTCATCTGCGTCAACGCAGATATCCTTGACTGTGGCCGTAATCCGGAAAACAGTGGCTTTCTTGGCCATGGTGGACGGGTGTTGATTCAAAGGTGAGAACTGCAGGATAAACAGAGTGTGTAGTAAATCTGGAGGAGTACCTGGAGATATCCATAGCGGAAGTAACCAAGATATGGAGGGTGTCAGGTCAGCGGTTGGGGAAGAAGACCCCATACTCCGCTCGGATCTCATCCGGTGGCTTGTTGGATTCGTCATTTGTTGGTAAAGAGGTAGATAGTGCGGCGATAAGCAAGTGTGGATATGCTGGGTGGACATGCGTGGCTAGAAATTTAGGCAGTGGCCGACCGAAATCCTTCCTTTTCAACCTGAATGTTACAGACGTAAATAGTAAAATAAAGTGTGACAAGACGGTGTAGAAGTACAACATTTTGTGCTCATGGTATAGAGTGATAGTAGAAACTGGACTAAGTATTGACAGAGTACATCGTATCGTCTACCCTACTAAGACGGATCTAACCTACTGCTCCAGCTTCCACGACGCCCGTATCACTTGAGCCATTCGTGCAATACCACGTTCCATCTCCTCCTGCTGCACAATGGTTAGCTCATTTAATCAGACCGTCTTTTCAGGGCTCGCATATACCGTCGTCATGGAGAAGGAAAACCGAAAGTAGGTCGTCAAGGGTGTAGCTCCGCGCGCATTTGTTGTAACCTTGTCCGGCCCCTGCCAGGGATGATAATATGACCCTGGGGTTAAGAGAACCTGTAAGCGGGTGTCAGTGTGTCCTCTGCATATTCAGCGAAACGACGTGTGAACTACTTACCTTGGCCTCGGCGAACTGCCGCCAAAGCCGGTCGGCCATCACCTGCTCCGGATCAACTACCTTCTCATCATGCCGTAGCTCCTCGAAGGCAGGATTCTGGGCCAGATTAAAGCATGCCCATATAAACATACCCCCCGTGGGTGGTACAAAGGAGAAAATAGGGACGTCGCCGAGATGGGCGACAAGGGTTCCGGTTGCCTTCGCCGCGTAACCGACGCGAAAATGCTGCGAAAAGGCGTCTATCATCCAGTCGCGTCGGCGACAGTACTCAACGCCCAGCCCCTGCAGCCATCCAAGATAGCCGTCGATACCCCAGCTTTGCAAGAGGCGGAGGGTAAGTGCTTGTGATAGGCCAGATGGGTCCTGCGTCTCAACCTCGGTCGCACGCAGCAGTCGTTCAGTAAACAATGGATTTGCGACAAAGTAACCGAGCCGCAGACCTGGTGCCAGCGTTTTACTAAAAGACTCCAGCCGGATTACACGGCCCTGGTGGTCAAATTGGAGCATTGACGGTGTCAAGGACCTTAGGAACTCATCGCTGCCGACGAATTCTGGGCCTTCCGTGACCGAGTCACCGGCATCGTATTCCGGGTACTGGAGGAAGAAGTACGGATCGTCCTCCACAATGATGACATCTGCCCTACTGTCAGCGCAGGTCGACGAGCCATTAATGAAGGTGGGACGGCGCACCGTATTCAATACACACATCGTAAACATCTCGTCGTCGCTTTGTACTCATCGTGACGCCCGATGGGTTAGAGCCGACACTGACAAGATACAGCACACGCGGCCGCCGGGTGCCGGGGTAACTATCTTCCCAATCGCGCAATGTTTGAGCGAGAGTATCAGCACGCATGCCTTCTGCATCTGAAGCAACCGGGGCCGCTTTGATGCCCAGGGGGATCCAGAAGGCCTGTGCTGATGGATAGGTGTAAGTCTCACACAATATGTAGTCGTCTGTCTCACACAACAGGCTGACCACTTTACTCCATGCGTTGGTATTTCCGGGGTGAAGTAACACGTTCCAGTCGGCATAGGCTGGCCGATGCACGCGCTGGGTAAACTCCCCGCACCAGGCGCGCAGTTGTGCGTTACCAGTTCCCGACCCATACTGCAAGAAACCATCTAGGGGTAGTTCGAGCAAGCAGGGACTTTCCCCCGCTGTCGGGGGTGATGCTGTCACGGTGGCTGTCTTGAATGGAAAGAAGGAAGGATGTGGAAGGCCTGAAAGCATGTGTTAGAAGGTGTATATCTTCTTGCTATTCGCCCTAACGACTCAAAGCATTGGCCCTGACAGCATCAAAACAATAACCTTGGGTTTATAAAGTTATGTTTTTGGCGTGCTTATTGGCTCAATCGTAGAATAAACCACGGCAGACAAAGCAGGGAAAGGGTTCAAATATTCAAACAGCTAAAAGGTGAAAGGACAAGGATGGGCCGTGCATAATTACTGCAAACCAAGTAGCAGAGAAATGAACTCGGGAAGATACAGTCCGATGGAGACGCAAAGCTAGAAATATTCATCTCCGCATTTAACATACCTCCGGCCAAGCTGACCATGTCATCAACGGCCATGAACTGGATAATGTCCTTCAAGGGGCTTGGGTGTCGGGCCCGGGATTTCGAATTGATATGGTGGCCCAAGTCAACAGCTGTGGGGAGGCCATTCGTGAATTGGGATTGGGCCATGGTATCTGTGGCGGTTAGTAGACAGATAAATGTGAAATGGACAAATAGAGGGAGGAAGCGAAAAACGATAGGAAAATGAACAAGAAATAACAGGCACAGAACGAGGAGGATCGTCAAGCTGGACGACGCTTGTCTCTTCTTTTCTTATCGGCCACGGCCCGAGATCCGAAGTGGCGGACAGACCAGAAAATCATCTCATGGCCAGAGATAGACGCGGCCGATAAATACGGGCAGCCTGCAGCTAGCACGACACCAAAATCACAAGTGACGGGTTCAGCAGTTCATATACATGGCGTCTGAGAAAACGGAGATAGCGTTGGCCGAGAGGTCGCCGGACCCTCTGCCGGTTGGAGATGAAAAGCATGCTGGCCTGGTGGCCGATCTGGTCCACGCCAGTGAGGCCGAATACACACCGGCCCAGTACCGCCGGCTGGTGCGCAAGGTGGACTGGATCATTCTCCCGCTGATGTGGATTATCTCTGGCACGCAGTACGCCGACAAGGCGTCCATTTCGACCCAGGCAACCTTTGGTCTGGAGCAGGACACCCATCTGGTGGGCCAACAGTACTCCTGGCTGACCTCGATCTTTTACTTGGCGTTCCTGGTCAGTGAGGCCCCCGGTAATTATATATTGCAGCGTGTCAGTGTTGGCCCGACCGTGGCTGTGTCTATGTTCTTCTGGGGTAAGGCTGTCCACAGAATATTTGGAGAGGACACGGTCCACTAACGAAACCCCACAGGCATCATCGTGCTGTGCATCGCCTTCGCCACCAACTTTGCGGGTCTAGCAGTGCTACGATTCCTTGAAGGCGTCACCGAATGCACCACCTACCCAGCCCTTCTCCTGATCACGGCCACATGGTATACTAAAGAAGAACATGCAATGCGCTCGGTCATCTGGGGCAGCGCTAACGCTGGGATGGATGTATTGACCAGCCTGGTCAACTACGCTATTGGCCGCCACGCTGAGACACACCCCAATGGAATGGCTCCCTGGAAGGGAATCTCTTTCTTTTTAGGGGCATTAACCATTGTACTCAGCGGCATTACCTATCTACTCCTCGGTACCCCACGCGAGGTACGCTGGCTGTCCGTCGAAGAAAAGCGCATGGCTGCGGCACGAGTAGTGGCCAGTCAAACTGGCTCGGATGCCCAGAAGCGCACCCTGGACTGGAAGCAAGTGATCATCACCTTCCGCGACCCCCAGACGTACTTCTTCTTCTTCCTCGTCATTGTCAATTCGATTCCCAATGGCGGCACGACGGCCTTTGGAAACCTCGTCTACGTCTCGTTCGGCTTTACGGCCCTGGAGACCATCGTTAAGGGTAAAATTCCACAGCAGCTGCTGTCGATTGCCTGGTTTTTGATCGCTGGTTACCTAACATTGAAGAAACCTAATCTCCGCTGTGCGTTACTCCTGTCACCCTTAGCATCCTGATACACTAACGTAAGGTTGATAGTCTATATCATGATTGTTTCGGTTGTCCCTGCCTTTTGCGGTATGCTCGCCCTGGCTCTGCTCCCGCACTCCTCGGGCCTGCTGTGGGCGCGCTGGGGTGTGTACTTTATGACCAGTGTGGGAAATCTAGCTGGTCCTCTTATATGGACTCTCTTGCCATCTAATGTGGCAGGGCGGACGAAAAAGTCGGTTACGGGCACCGTCCTATTCATTGCCTACTGTGTGGGTAACTGCATTGGCGCCCAGGTCTTCCAGGCCAAGGATGCGCCGCGATACATTCCTGCAATCGTAGTGTGTTCAATTATGTATGGACTGGAGATTGTTTTGATGATTGCCTGGCGCACATACTGTATGCATCTGTCTGGTTACTCCTGGATGCTGGGTGCTAACATTGGATTTAGATGTTTGGCAGAATAAACGTCGTGCTTCCCTGATTGCAGCCATGGCTATGACGTCTCAGGAGTCTGCGCATCAGGGCCGCCTTAATGCAGAGTCAGACATGACAGACTACGAGAACATCCACTTCGTGTACAGTTTGTAGTGGACGGAGTTGTCTTTTTGTTACATGAGCCGTGAGTCACAAGGTGGTCATTTGGGTTGGCTATGTGTCTATCATGGTCAGCGGTTGCTGGAAATTGGCATAACTTGTTGTGGCATTATAAAGCCAACCCCATTTGCTACACTGGAAGGCAGATATAGACACCTGTAATTAGTTGGTAAGGATATGCTAGTACTGGTAAGGACTGCCATCGGCCGGAACTGCTCCGCCTTCATTTGGTAGACCAATATATATGTTAGTACCTTTTCCGCACTCATCCATTTTTCCAACGTCTGAGAGAACTGTTCTTCAGCGGCCCCGGTGCCTATACATGATATATTTATCTTTAGCTATTGTCCTATTTAATTGGTAATGGGAAACCACATTTCCTACGAGCGCACGCCACACGAGATCGACTTGGGCAACCTAGGTCGCATCCGTGGCCTACAGTTTGACAACAAAGCCCGTCGTTATGCCCGCATCCCCTATGCTCTTCCTCCAATCGGGCCGTATCGCTGGCGGAAACCACGGCCTTTACCATTAGACTACTCATACAGCGGTCCAGATGGGATTCCATTGGATGCTACTATGTTCGGTCCTGTTTGTCCGCAGGCCAGCTTTTCCAGCAGCGCCGAGAAAGCGCCTAGCCCCGACGTGTACAGTGAGGACTGTTTGCTTCTCAACATCTGGACTCCGGTCACCATGCCTCCGCCTGGAAAACGCTGGCCGGTGGTGCTTTGGCTTCATGGTGGCTGGTTCGCCATGGGTGATCCCCTGCAGGAGCCGGGAATGGATGCCACGGAGCTTATTTCCACGGCAGGGCTGCAGGCCATCGTTGTCGGAATTGGCTACCGATTGAACATCTTTGGCTTTTTGGCCGGAGAAACGCTTTTGGCCGCAAACGAGGATGGGGATGCTGGAGCTGGTAATTTTGGCCTCTGGGACCAACGGATCGCCTTGGAGTGGGTACATGCGCACATCCACCGATTTGGCGGCGACCCAGACAACATCACCCTTGGTGGTCGCAGCGCCGGTGCGTATGGTGTACACGCACAGCTACTGTACCACTGTCAGCACGATGCGAATGAAGGACGGCTTTTTCGACGCATATATATGTACTCGAATGCCATCCCCGGGCAGCCCAAGACGCTGGCTGAGGCCCAGCCGCAGTTCGACGAGGTTTGCCGGTATTTCAAGCTGGATCCCACATTGAGCCCACAGGAAAAGCTAGAGCAGCTGCGCCAGGTGGATGCCGCTGACCTCTTGGCTGCAATGGGCTTTTTGCAGCATCATACCTTCCGTCCCGTTACGGATGGGGACTTCATCCGGCCTGGCTTCAACGCATACCACCGGAGCGGTGAGCTGGCCGCCCAGTTCCATGCGCGCGACCTCCGCCTACTTATCGGAGAAGTGTTGAACGAGGAAACTCTCTATGCCACATACAACAGCCCCGAGGCCAGTCTCGTATCTCTGCGGAATCAGCTGGCCAACTACTACGCCCCCCGCATCGTTGATCGTGTGCTGCCTCATTATTCTCTACCGGCTGCTGACAGCCCTGTAGCGGCCTGGAAAGCCTTGTTTGGCACTATTGTAGCTGACGGCCAGGTGCGCGCTCCGTCGCGCTACCTGATTCACTACTTGGCTACACATGGTGTGCCCCTGACCCGGATCTGGCGTTATCAGATTGCTTATCGACTCTCCTTTATCACCGAAAGGGTTGCACCGCTATCTTTTGGCGTCGCACACGCCATGGACAAACCATTTTGGAAGTGAGTGTACCTTCCACTATTTGCTTATGAAATCTAGCAAGCCATGACTCAGTCTGATTGACCATTCAGTTACTCTATCATGCACGACCCAACCGCCGCCGAACGCGAGCTTATGAACGAATGGATCAAAATCCTGGTGTCATTTGTACATGACGACAACACTTATGAATTTGGCACACAGTCCTTGGATGAGTTCAAGGTGGCAACCCCTCAAGGAATGGTCCAGGTGAAACGGGATCCCCGCTGGCAGGAGCTTGTAAAGCTGGGAGAGGTTTTCTCGGATGACGTGTAGTCTGATGGTATTGGGTTCTAATCATTGATGGTGGGTGAGTTGGAACATCACCAGTGCGATATATACAAGATCATTGATTAAAACAGAAAAAGGTCTATTATATGCCTTCCTACCAGGGGATGATACCCACAGTATATCTCTCAGATCCAGGAATGTGAATGTTCATGAATTGGCCATTTTGTGTTTGAATGCAGGAAGAGACCATCTCCCAGACAGCCGTAGCCCCTTCCTCGACCGAGAGATCAGCATCTTGGCCACCCATGTCCGTCCGTAGCCACTGTTGACAGTTATTGAACCGGTTCTTTCTATCCATGCCGCTGCTTACTTACCCCTGGATGAATTGCCATAAATGTAAAGCCCTCATCTGTATATGACAGTGCGTATTGCACAGTCAGCGCGTTGAGGGCAGCTTTGCTGATTTTATACGCGGGCATAGGCGCAAAGGCGGATCCTTCAGCCCAGCTCCTCGAGCAGTAGATGGTAGATCAGCTGGAAGTTAGTGTGCTGAACTTAAAGATGAACAAAATGGGATTTATACTCACATATTTGCTACCTTTTTAGCTTTTCCGGAAGGTAAGTTCTGATCAAATGATGTGGCCCAATCGTATTGATAGAGAGTTGATGAGATAGATCAGCCCTGTAGGATTTCTTCGTGAGCTAATTATTGAATAAAAGCGCATAGGTGCACTCAATTCTCATATTAGCTCTACCTTGCCATGTGTCTCTGAGCTCACCGCAGCACAGTTGATTATGATATCCAATCCCTTCCTCTTTATAGTTTCTGGAATATACTGCACCAACTTCACGACCGCGTCTTCATTAGAGAGTTCGAGATGTATAAAGACCACACGCTCCGATCCATTTCCGGCTATTGCTTCGAGGGCAGGACTACACTGTCGGGCTGCTGCCACTAAACCCAGTATTCCACTAACCCTATTTGGTACGCGATCACCATTTGTGATTCACATCGGGACAGCCACAGACGGTCTATTCTTGTAGTGTGGCCTCTGTTACCTTCCCTTCCGCTTTCAGCAAGTCAAGATAACATCTGCGGACTACGGCTCGATCAGTTTCGGTCAAGGACAGACCCTCGGTTGATAGTATCCTTCCACGGATCGGAGCACTCGGTCGCTTAACCCCACTGCTGATGGATAGTATAAACCTATAAATAGAGAATGGGTCACTATTATAGTACAAATTAGACACAAATCCAAAACACACATTTGAGCAGATAATCGATCCTCAGCCCAGGCTATCATGTGATCTGTAAGCTGCCGGCCGATTCCTTAGGCTAATCATTACCCCGCCACATCACTTCCCCTCATTCTGACTCATGACTAGTAACTATTTCCCTTCCTGCATCAACTCGCATATCCCGCCACATCCACATCACCACTAAAATTGCCAATCAATTGTAGATATGCCTGTCTTCCACGTCGGTGCGTCTCTCTGCCCTCATCCATCTCGAATTGCTACGCAGGAACCTAACATGTCAGCCAGTCCTCTTCCGCTTGAAGCCGGGTGTCCCGGCTAGCGAGCTCGAGGCCTGGGCCCGCCTGGGTAAAGCCATGGTTGGCAAGATTCCAGGTCAGTACCTACCTTCAAGGTTGTGAAGGCAACTGGGATACTGATACCTGACATGCTGCCAGGACTGCTGGAGTTCCATGCCAACCCCCCGTTGGCGATGACCGCGTCCCGCGCAAAGGGCTACAATATGGGCTTGGTGGCTATTCTGGAGAAGCCGTCAGACCTGCAGGTCTATGCAACTCACCCAGCTCACCTCGAGTCAGTCTACCTGTAGCTGTGGGAACCTCGGTTTGGAAATGAATGGTAGCTAACGGTTAATCAGATTGCATGAAAAGCGCGAGCAATTGTGTGAGGATACTTTGGCGTATGATCTGGAGTACTAGACCTCCCGCGTGTAGGAGTGGTTAAAGGAAATTGTGTGATGGGAGTGTCCTACATTAGGGGCAGGCCAGACCACATGATCGCCTTGGTAGCTGCACCCTGACAATTTTTGTGCAATTATTCCTCGTCGGTGCATGATTCTGCAGCTGCTTACATGCTATGGATGCGTTGGGCTCCTGGTGCGTAATGATAGACGAGATAATGGGTTGAAGAGCAAATCCGCAATCCAGGGTCTATTATCATGTATATATTGCCAGAATACATGTGTGACAATTGTACAATCCCTCAGGTTTTGCCTTTGGAATTGCTCATCCTATAGCCTACTGTTGCCCCAAACACCACAATAGACTAAGATAACAGAGGGTGCACCTCCATCAAATATGGCCAGATAAGGAGAAATATCCGGACGGAGTCAATGTGACGAGGGAAATACAAGGCTACCAATTGGCGCAGTTGCTGATTTACACGGTAAAACCTCGGAATTGTCGATCGGGGAAAGTGCGAGGCCGATTCTCCAGAAGACCCCTGTGACGGCCTCTTAAGTGGTGTCATATAGGTCTCCATTCTGTCAGTACATCTGTCTTAGCGCCCATCAACTACCAAGGCTTAACCAAGGATTGGGAATGACTATCCAGCGGACCTGATGGTAATAACGCCATTCTTGTCCCGCCCACAGTTCTAGCCTCTTGCTTTCATATTCCTGTGGGTAGTCCGGCCACTCACCTAAGATGTTTGCTTACTACATGCAAGGGTGGTACTGAAATCTGCTTGACCAGCTGGACGTGGGGTGGGCTACATCTGGGGGCGTGGGGGCACCAGGTCGGGGTGAAATCTGGGGTTGATGCGGAGTCGGACTTGGGCCGAGTGTCAAGCTGCTACTGCATCAAGCTCCAATTGGGATGTCGGGAGGGTGCACCTCAGCTATTGGCTGTTAAGCTTTGATCGACACGGTAGGACTGGGCAGACCATCCGATGGTTGTAGGTCTACTCGTTGCTCATGACGAAACACCATGCGGGGAAACAGATCTGGTCTGTGATTCAGGCGGTATAAATACAGCACCATCGCATGGCCGCAAGATGTTTGAAGATCAGTAAAGATGTTGTCCCTAAGAGGAAAGCCCCTGGTCTATCTGGTCACCGTCGTCAGCTCGACTGGCTTCTGCCTGTTCGGCTACGATAATGGCCTGATGGGCCAGGTCATCTCAGAGCCCAACTTCCTCAACATGATCGGAAATCCAGACGCAGCCGTGCAAGGGCTTGCGGTATCATCCTACGATATCGGATGCATGGTGGGGGCGCTGGCTGCCGTGCTTATTAGTGAGCAGATTGGGAGAAGACGGACGATCTTACTAGCTTGTGTTGTGCACATTGTGGGAGACGTCGTCAACGCCTCCACCTTCTCCCTCGCCCAACTTTTGGTGTCGCGTATCATCCTTGGTATCGGTCTCGGGCTCTTTACGAGTGCCTCTCCCGTCTGGCTGGCCGAGACCGCTACAGCGCAGATGCGGGCTGTTATGGTGGCCGTGCAGCTGACCTTCCTTATTATCGGCACGAACATTGCCTACTGGGTCGATTATGGGCTTGGCTTCCTTGACAATGAAATCAGCTGGCGTGTGCCTTTTGCTTTGCAGGCCATCTACCCCATTGTGGCCTTCGGTTTTACTTTGGTGCTCCCGGAATCCCCTCGATGGCTTGCTTCCCACGGCCATACTGAGGCTGCTGCCGCCGCTCTATCGGCCTTCCGCGATCTGCCAGAGGACCACGAGTTGGTCCAAGCTGAATTTCAGGATATTGCTTCGGCAATCGCTTTGGAATCGGACGGTGGATCATGGGGAAGCTTGTTCCGCCAAGGCCCCAGTAAGGTGCGTACGCGTGTTATTATCGCCTGCGCGGCCAACTCGATGCAATCCTACACCGGGATCAACTTTGTGGAGTACTACTTCCCTTTCATCTTGACCAATTCTGTCGGACTCGGTACCAATCTTGCGAACCTTGTGTCGGGGTGCTCACAGATCTGGTTCCTCCTATCATCCTTCGTGACCTGGTACTATATCAACAAGCTGGGCCGCCGCCGACTGTTCTGCCTGGGAAATCTCGGGATGGGGTGCTGCATGATTGCGGTGTGTATCACTCTGTGGAAAGACAGTCAAGTGTCAGTCATCATCACTGTCGTCTTCTTCTTTCTTTACCTCTCCTTTTTCACATGGGGATGGATGTCGAACATGTGGACCTATCCTGCTGAGATTCTACCACTGCATGTTCGCAGTAAAGCGCTGGCACTCTCCGTCTTCTTCCAATGGGCCAATCAGTTCTGGACGGTGGAAATTGCGCCCGTCACGATTGACAACATCGGCTGGCGGACATATATCATCTGGGCCATTCTTAACTTCGTTTGCTGCGTGATTGTGTATTTATTTTTTCCGGAAACGTCGTCCCTCACGCTCGAGTCAGTCGATTTCCTATTTTCCTCGTCCAACAACATCCGCGAGGTGGTGGCGCGCAGCGAGGAGATCTATTTGAATCACTCCCATCTTGATGTTGGAGCTGCTGCGGCGGCGGCGGTGGGCGGAGACGGCAAGGAAAAGGCCTTGGAAGACGGGGTCGCACAAGTGACGCACGTCGAGACACACATGGCGGTGTAGGGTGCATGTTACACGGTTGAGAAAGCTATGCTGGGTCATTCGAGCTTTAGAACTAGACAACATGTGTCAGGTACTCTGTATCAGTCGTAGTATTTACTGGCGATTTGTCTTTTGTCAAATTGTTGTGCTCGTTGAACTTGAATGGGTATTGAACGGCTGTTGGGCCCGCCACAGCGACCGAGTGACCCATAAACCACTCACCCTACTTGTTTGCGATTTGTTCTTCGGTCTGTCTACTTTGTTTAACGCCTCGTACATAGAACTGTAAGAAGCGCAATGAAGGCGAATCCTGCACAACTTCATGAGATGGTTATGTACAGTGGCGACTGTCTCGCCCTGTACCAGGTCAATTCTACCGACAATGTTCCCCTGTCCATCTGTTGATCTCTGCCTAGATTGTTGGCGCCTTTCCTTGGTCCACCCGCGGTGCCTGTTCCGGCTCGGGAGAGCATTCTCCGGCTTGTGAAAGCCGGAGTTGTTCCTGATCCTCGTGATTTCACCTATTCGGAATGATATCATAAAAAAAACCTTCAATTTCAACTCCAACTAAGCGTCTACTTCCTAGTTTCATATGATTATTTTCCCGTGCATCTCCAAAACAATGGATGCTGCCTGAGGTTTCAGTGGGCATACACGTCATGATGACCTCAATGCGCAGTGGATCCCCCCGGCTTGGCCATAAAGCTTGGCACTAGGGCCCCGATGCTTAGCCGGGGGGGATTTACCAAACCTAATGATCCTACAGTGTTCTAGAAAGTTGGCTACTTGAATGTTACTTCCTCATTGCCTTCAAACCATGTCTCCCGTACGGTCTGTTCCGTCATCCTTCTTTCCCGCACCATCCGTCGATATGTCCGCTGATGAACAACACCCCAGATTTCGCCATGACCCCAGCTGGTCCTATCACCAAGGAGTGTCGGGTTCGATGCTCAAAGTTTTCCTCCGTACTTTTACTGCGTTGCACATGAAATGGCCGCTATCCCTCAAGCCACACCACGAGTCGGATCGATTCGTGTTGATCAATCCTGCCGCCTCCGAGTGCTACACTGGAGTGATGGTGGATGAGGCCGTCAAGCCGGAGACCATCGGCGCCACCTGGTATCCCCAGCCATTTACGCGCGGCACCTCTCTCCCGGATGATGGGCATGTCATCTTGCACCTACACGGTGGTTCCTATATTTTGGGAGACGGTCGCCCCTCTTCCTGCAACTTCATGGCCCAGACCCTCCTCGAACAGACTCCAGCAAGTTACATGCTCTGTCCCCAGTATCGACTGGCCTGCAACCACAACGGTCGCTTTCCTGCCCAATTGCAAGATGCCCTCGCAGCATACATGCATCTGATTCACACCCTCCAAATCCCTCCCTCTCGAATCGTACTCAGCGGCGACAGCTCCGGCGGCCACCTCGTCCTAGCACTTCTCCGGTACATCGTCGAATTTAATCGGCCGGATTTATTACCAGCACCAGAATGCAGCTGGGCCTGGTCTCCATGGTGTGACGTACCCGCTGCAGTCGACCCTAGTGCCTGGACGCACAGCACCAACTACAAAACCGAGTATATACCAGGGTCCTTCCCAGCCTGGGGAGCGAAGCAGTTCCTGGGAGATTTGGAGATAACCCCACAAGTTGAGCCGTACGTAGCTCCCATCTGGCATCCGTTTGTCGTTCCCTCGCCAGTACTGGTCATTACCGGCGGCCGTGAAGTTCTGTGTCAGGATCATGAGAAGCTGGCGCAGGAGTTTCAGAAACTGCCCGGGAATGAATCTTCCATTGATCTGGTAGTGGAGGAAAAGGTGCCGCATGATGTGTTGATGATTGGGTGGATTATGGGGTTCAAGGATGAGGCCCGTCATTGCGCCACCAAGGCGGGGGAATTTCTACGTCGGGTGGACGCTTCGTCCGGTAGAAGGGATGATGCTGCTGAGATGTAAATGGGCTGATCTCCTCATGGTATATATAGATGCTATGTTTCGGTTGGTCCCTGCCGGGTGCGTGGACATTGCCTGCATTCCATTATTGATGGCTTATTCACTGGCGTATATCTCTGCTTCTAAAAGACCAATGAATTTCAGGCCCGGGAAATTCGAGTATCCTTGACGTTAACATAGTAGTTTGTTTCATTCCAACATCCCGTGAAGGGAACAGTGTGTGGTAGGGGTAGGAGGGGGTTAAACCAGTTTGCGACCGTAGGAATTTATGGTGATCATGGTAGTATATTTTGTAACCTGGATTAGGTACCGGTGGTTAGTATCCGTTGATCCCGGAAAGTTTTACCACATTCAGGCTATTCACATTCAATCCACCTGCTGAGACAGGACGAGATAATGTCTCGTATTAGCTGCCTATGATCCAATGCTGTCATAAACTACCATTGTGGAGTGGCGGGGAAAACGAGAGGTGCTCGGATAGTGCTGGGGACCTTGGGTGAATTCAACAGTAATAATAATAGCATCTGACCCTTCCACTTCTTCCCCTGCGTGAACGTCTTTCTTCTACTTAATTACCCCCGATGCATGGTGATGGTTGCAAAGCCTGGAGCACTATTGGGTTCTTTTCCAATGTGAAAGCTGAACGCTTAATTGATTTCATTCGGTATATACATTTCGTGTAGCACAGCTACAATTTTTTGCCCTTTTCACCCTTCCACAATATCCTTCATATTCCGCCTTGCTAAATATGTTATTGATGATTTAGAGGTTCGCAGACAACACCCCCGCCCTTTGAGCCGTGAAGGTGGCAATCAGATCCATCAATGCCGGCGACAGCGCATCGTATGTCTCGAGACCCAGGGAGTGGAACTTGGAGCGCACTTCCTCCATGCCCTTGGGGTGGAAGCCCTGCTCGATGATGGAGGAGACGAATCCCGCGAACTGAGGTTCCTGCCAGCCCTTCTGGTCGGACAGCTCGGCGTGCACAAAGTCCAGGCCCTTGAAGGGGTGGTCTTTCTCGATGCGACCGAACATGTGCACCCCGCAGCCCTTGCAGGCATATCTCTGGATAGCGGCGGACGCGTCCACGATGGACAGCTTCTCTGCGTGTTCGGTGACGGAGACGGCGTCGCGGGGAACTACTCCGACGATGGAGAACAACGATCCGGCGGGCTTCCAGCACTTGGAGCAGCCACAGGCGTGGTTGTGAGCGACATTGCTGGCCAGTTTAACCACCACCTTGTCGGAGGAGCATTTGCAGTAGAGGTTACCGCCAGGGAAGTTGGGGTCCCCTTTTGTGATGCCGTTGTCGAGGAGAGGGTGGAGGGAGGGAGACATGTTGGATGGAATGAGGTTCGAAGGATATGCGACCGTGAGAGAGATGAAGAACTGGACTGGTAAAGGATCGGGATACTGATATTTGCATTCTCTGTCACTGCTACTCTGCTATATAGGCGAGGAAGAACAGGGATGTTCCCCTCATCTGTCGCAATCACTTTCCTTCCATCCCCTCATGCGGGGTGTGAGGGAGCCCGTCGGCGAGGTTCCCGGCCTGGCCGTATTGGCATCCCTTGTTTTCCCACGGGAAAACATTACTCGACTGGGAGAGCGAATACGAGTGACTCCTATCGGTGGAGCTTTATCGACTCGGTCCGATCGCGACCGTGATTTCTACTAAGGAGTGAAATGAGGCCATCTGGGATAGAGGCATCGCAGAGAGCACCAGGCGATCCAGCCGGTTCACACGGTTCGCCTTCCCGAGACATCTGCTTTCTTCCTCCAGAGCCTTCGGAAAAGCCGCCCGTCATCCCCATCGTTGCGTTATCCAGGGATATCTACCCTATCTGCAAAATTTTCTGTCATTCCCAAGCAATATTTGGATGTGTCTCGCCTTCGGATCTAGCGATTAGATAGCTAAATGACACAATACCTTTTCTTATTTCCTCGGGTAAAAGATACCCTGGCGTGCACACAACAGTGGCCATTTCTCTTTAATCGGTGAGCCCCACGCCGCGAACACAATCACCTCGAAGCTACAAGTAAGGGACCTATGTATGGGAGGCAATGGTGTAAGGCCTATCCATCAATAGCACTATACGGTCAGTGACGCGCTTGCCGACCGCAACTTGTCCCTCGAATGACCCGAATGCGGGAGACTTGAGACCAATCGAAGGTTTTTGGCAGTGGCGCTTTGCATGACTGCAGTATCCAGGTTAGTCCGAGACCATTAAGTTATAGGCATGGATGATGAGCAGGATAGCGAAAAAGCGATGACTCGTCATGACTACGACCTGTCCCAGACAGCCCCGTGAGTTCTAGGAGGCACTCGCTTCGCCATTCCAGCGCCTCTTCCCACTCAGCCTTGCGCGGTCGGCCGCAGAAGCTTCTGTGTGCTCTATGTTATTCTATGGGGTATGCTAGGTGTTGCTTCTTCATAGGGCAGGCCGTTTAGACGAAGGTGTCTCCGATGCAGCCCGGTAGTGCTTAGAGGCAGACCGATATTGATTGTTCAAATGGAATACTTGGAAACGGCTACAAGGGGGACGGCATGTCTGCTCCTATGGACCAGAGAGTGAACCCGGATGCTTACAGTGAATTTGTGTCGAACGAGAGGGTCTCATAGAGAAGGGATATCTGTCTCCGAGAGGTGTGAGTTGGGACGGTCGCACATTTGGGAGATCTTGCGTTGCGAGGTTAGATTTGTGAGATGGTATGTTCACAGTGCGTACGCGGGTCCATGGGCGCGAAAGGCTATGGCGATAGAGTTTGACCTCGTTCTCCACCATCTCGACGATCCGATACATCGGTGGAGGGGTAGGTCTCTGGAGACTTGGAGGGCTTAAGAATGCGACTCTCGGCCTGTCATTGGAGCTGGGAACGAGTTATATGGAGAAGTCCCCAAACAGCCCAGTAATTGAGCCTTATCCACTGGCATCCTCTGGTGGCGCGGGAGACGGGCCGGAATTGTGCTCTCCCGTGTGCGCTGGAGGCCAGGGGACTATCATTTCCTCCTCTCCTCACGCTGACTCTGTGCGGAGTGGGGGCCAGGCAGAGGTTGTCATCAAACAAACTTTGTGAAACCCTCGGAGCAGGTTGAACCCCACGAGGCTAAAGTAGATCGGCCGCGACGGCGCGGCCAGCGTGGTGCCAACCATTTCACCCCAACAGGAACCGTGTGGATATCTCTCCCTCCATTAGATGAGAAAATGGGTCTGTTGCTCTGCGGGCATAGGCGGCTGTTCCCGGAGAACATGACGAATGGCCGGCCTGGATGTTGAGGATCACTCACCAATGGGGTCGTTGCCGAAAGAATGACGAGGCAGCTGAGGAAGCCTCCGTGGAATATCTTGTCTGCAAGCTAGTACACTGAATGCAGAAAGACATGGATTAGCATGCAGAGCCAATGTACGACTGCAGAAATGTCATCGCGCAGATCGCTCGGCCAGCATCAGCTGCCCACAGCCCCGCACAAACCCCTCTCGAAAGTACTGGCTCGGTCAGCATGTCAGGTCGCTTTAAAAACAGTCTCTCGGTCTGAGAAGCGTCCACCGTCGCCAGCCAGGTATCACACCTTGTACGTCCGCTAGAAGCCATGGGATCAATCTCACAATCGACCGAGGCCGCCTACCGGCCTACTCCTGCCGATATCACCATCAACAACCACCAACCGGGAGATCCAGACAAAATTCTATTCAAAAATGTTCTAATCCTAGACTCGACAGGCAGCTTACCCTACCTTGGAGATGTCCTGATCGAGGGCGAACGTATCATGTCCGTGGGGCAAGTTGATGAGACAGCCGCGGCAGGGGCCTTGGTCATCGATGGAGGTGGCAACAAGACGCTGATGTCGGGCCTGGTCGATGCTCATACTCATCTCAGCTTCAACAATGCAAAGACCCTGGATGGGTTGACCACCATGCCCCTAGAAGAGCACGTTATTGCTACCGCTCACTCGGCTAAAACGTATCTTGACTGCGGCTACACCATGTGTTTTGGCGCGGCCTCTGCCCGTGCCCGACTTGACATCGCTATCAAGGCCTCCATCAAGTCCGGCATCATTCCGGGACCACGAACTCTGGCCAACACACCCGAAATCACTACTACTGGAGGAGCTATCGTTCCTGACATATCCAAGTATGCGGACGGGCCTCACGAGATGCGGAAGACGGTGCGGTCATTCATCGAGCTGGGAGCAGATAACATCAAACTCAGCATAACTGGTGATAACATTACTGATAGCATGCCAAGCGACGAGACCTACTTCACCCTGGAGGAGACGGTCGCCGCCGTAGAGGAGGCCCACAACCGAGGGAAACGCGTGTGCGCCCATGCGCGGAGCAAGGAATCCGTCAAATTATGTCTCCAGGCAGGTGTTGACGTGATATACCACGCTAGCTTCAACGATGAAGAGAGCTTGAATATGCTGGAACAGCGGAAGGACTCTGTTTTTGTGGCGCCGGCCATCAATCTGCCTCTTGCCACCTGTGCGGGTGACGCTATCCCCTTCGGGTTCACGGTCGAGATGGCTGAGAAGAAGGGCGTTAAAGAAGAGGTGGAAGCAGCATGCAAGTCCATGCGGGAGATGCATAGGCGAGGGATCCGCGTGTTACCAGGTGGTGATTATGGTTTCGCGTGGGCGCCGCATGGCACGTATGCCCGCGACTTGCATCACTTCGTTGAGCATTTTGGCTACACACCGATGGAGAGTATTCTGGCGGCTACAGCACTTGGAGGAGAGATCATGGGCTATCCGGAGGATTTGGGTAAAGTGCAGCCAGGCTACTATGCGGATGTGATTTTGGTCGATGGGGACCCACTGGCAGATATTACTGTTCTGCAGGATACCTCACGGCTACATGCCATCGTGATTAACGGTCATATCCACAAGCGTGTCTGATCAGGTGTTGTTGATTCAGTGTGATGGGTTGCTGCATCTGGTGAGCCAGTGCCTCACTGACCACAGTGTATCTGTCTTTGTCGTTGGTACTGTATTACTCGTTGTTACTGCGTTTTTGTGCTGGACCGATGTAGTCAATTATGAAGCTGCCATTACTCTAAGATCGAGCTCAACTTGTAGAGAAAGGGTGTGAGTGTCGTCAGGAAAGAAGACCACCACCACAGTTTTTTATATTATGCTAGACTCTCACAGAAACAAAGTTTTTGGAATGGCTGTCTAGCCAATCATGGCCTGTGTGCAACTATATTAATAAATATACTTGGTTCCTGATAGGACTACTATATAGCTTCCTGGTATAGATCACCAATAGATATTATCCAGCTTCCTCAGACATCCACTTTTAGTAGATGATATCCATTCTTGCTCTCACTGAGCAAAGATAGACAATATAGACTTTCTTCCTCAAGAAAAATGGACAGTCAACCCTCATCCTAATTGTACCTTAAATGGCCTGTCTTGATAATTCTATCTTTAAAGCATGTCATGTAACAGAACTCTGGTCATAAACTCGGTGACAATTGTCTACTGGAACCTATCCAGTATGCTGCTTGAGGAAATGAATAATCGTTTTCCGAGCCTCCGCGCCCTCGGGATGCGGCAGGAGCGGATACACGTGCACCATCTCCGGCTGCTCAATGAAAGTGAATTTGTCGTTTTTGAAACTCCCAGGCATGCAAATCTCAGTGCCCTTGCCCTGGAACTTCGCGCTTAATCGTTGTGCATCCGCTACAAGCATGTCATATGTGCCGCTTAGCAGCATGACGGGCGGCAACGTCTCGATGTCCCCAAACAGTGGGCTGACTATCGGATCGTGAGCTGGTAACCCTGGCCCAAGAAGCGGCAGGAGCTGACGCAGGCCATCCAGCCCCAGCCACGGGTCATTCTTGGCCCGGCGCACAACCTCGGGGTGGTCCAAGCCCAGGTCAAGTATGGGAGAGATAAGCACGATGCAGAGCACGCGTCTCGCAAGCTCAGGATGCTGCTTCAACAATTGCTGCATGGTAGCTAGAGTGTACATACCGCCCGCCGAGTCACCGACGATGGACACAATGGGCTGTTCAAGTCTACTGCAGATATCCATGAACCCATCGATGACCTCGGCCGCCGTTGTCCCAGGTCGCGGAAGTAATGGGTAGATGGGGACAATGGCATCCAGTCCGGTGTCCCGCACGGCCTGCGCGACCAGCTTCCAGTGCTGGGGGTTGATCTCCCGATAAAACGCGCCGCCGTGGATGTACATCATCGCGGGACGCTTCTTGACGGAGTTGCCTGCTGAGGACACGCGATAAAGAGGCCAGGCACCGTAGTCAATGCGATCGATGGTGATTCCAGGCTCGAGGTTCTTGGGTGGATTGAAGTTCCCTGGCCGGAGGTAGAGCTCGCGCATATTGTTGCGCATATTTTCAGCGCTGCCGAAGACGAGTCTGCTTCTACGAATGTACGTGACGAACATGCGGAAAAGCCATGCGGTGAAGGAGGCCATTCCGATTAGTTGACCCAAAAAAAGAAAAAATAAAAATAAAAAAAAATGGAAAAATAAAAAACCTGGTGATAGGGAGAAGAAGGTGTAAAAAAGGGTCAAACCGTGGTGCGGGAGAGGGGGATGGGGTCTTGCTATTAAGTTGGCATGTGAGCCAGCGTCGTATTGAGTCTAATGATCATGAGGGTCATGTGTGGCTCAAGTGGGCTACCCACCCAAACACTACCTGCCCAGATGCCCCTTTCCCAGACGGAATCGGACCAAAAGACAGTCAAATTCAAATTTTCGTCTTGCGATATGCTAAACTCTACCGTGGACTGAAGGACTCATGGCAATACCATTATAATAAACTTTACTCGGATAGGTAACCCCTGCGCCTCCCCACACTACTAACGAAACTACCGAGGTCAACCGAGGTATTTAGTTGAGTATCAGTTCAGAAGGCACAGTTGCATCGCACAGATGAAGATACTTGGGTCGCAGGATATCACCTACAACAGTTTACCCCTTCTCACTCCTTAGCTCTTCTCGTATATCTACTGCTTTAGAAATCAGTATCCAGTAGTAAAAAAAATTTCGAGTAATTGCCGGAGCGGCGTATTCCTTATCATTTACATAAGTAACCGTATTATCAATACCGCCTGTGTTTATTTTTTTTAGAGAGAATATAAAACTAACTGTAAAACTAACTAAATTGGATACTAGTAGGAATGTCAAAAAGTAGATTCTAAGATAATAAATCAGTTCTCTATTTTCCTGTCTATGGCAGTATGCTTTCTTATATCAAAGTTAACCAATCTCTGTTATCCTCACTACCCCTATAATTTTAAGCTATAATTAAATCATTCTTATGATAGGATTCACGTCAAAGTCCTCATCTGTTTTCCAATTCAGTCGCAGGTAGTATATTTTCTAATCAGTATTATTATTTAGCTAACAGCGGCCACGCGAAAACACACTAGTTATGGAGAAAAATATAATAATCCTATTAAATCAGACAGAGATACAATGATTATACTAGATTCTTGGATATGAATATCCAGGCAGTTATTAGTATTATGCAGCTTACTATATTCATATTATTTTCATAAAAGATTTCTTTATACCGGTCTTGTTTCTGTCGCATCATTCGTCTGAATGAAACAGATATTCTAAATAACTTTTACTTATTAGTTCTTCAGATATTATATATATTTATCTCTGTCAGATTTAGTTTATTCTTTTCTTTTATCTCTAACTCCACATCCTTGTATTATTTGTTTATCATCTTCATTTGGAATGAAGATACCATCAGTCTTCCCAGGTCATCCCAAGCAATACGGGTGGATGAGGCTCATGTCTGCCGAGCCATTAGACATATTAGCCAAGGGATTTCGATGGGTTGATGGGACAAGCCTCCACAGCACAGGCCACAGCGAAGTGAAATGGGGGCGGAGGGGCAAATGTAAGCACTAGGAAGGATTCGGGAACGTCGGAGTGGGGAACCTGATACGGCGGGCGTAACAATAATACATGGAGTCGCGCAGCTAATAAGTCCTTTTTTGGGACACCAAGGCTTACGAGGGTTTTAGTATTTATGCGCCATGGTGTTTGCTATTGTTAGATAGGCCTTCATTCTAAGTGTGTTCGAAAAATATCGATGACTTCAGCTTCACGCGTAGCTAGCTAGTGTCGCTTTCATTGCCCTGTTCTATCATGACATGCTCTTGTAAAGCCGTCTTGAAGCGACTTTGGAGTATAAGCACCGCAGCAAAAGCTTGTCGTCTATTGAAGGTGCACTTGTGACATGACAGATTCAACGCCTTGGACGCTTGATACAGCGACAGTACATGAACTGGACCTGGATCACCGCTGTACAGAATTAGTTCAACTTAGACTGATTTCTCACTGGTTAGCTCGCTAGTCAGTCAGGCTACTAACTCCAGCGGGTCTCCACAGCTGGGCGCAGCCTCTCCCATCCCCTCGCGAGGTGGTGCTGCCTGCAACCGACTATATAATCTTTGTCTTTGTCTTTCAGCTGTTCATGGAGCCCCTCGATCTCGAATAAGTTTTGACTGGCGGTCACTCGTTCCCGTGCGAGCAATCCCCATTTTTAATCATTGTACTCCGCTTTGTTATTTGATCTTCGTTAACCCGTTCCTCTAATATGTCTTCCTATGAATTCCTGTCACTCGCTACCAAGCCATCCGCCCAGCTATGTTACAGCTTCCACCCCGCGGTGGGCACCAAAAAGCCGGCTCTAGTCGTATTCGTCAATGGTCTGGGGCTGCCACAGACCTCGTGGGAAGGAGTAATCGCACGCTTGCAAGCCCAGCCTCCTACTGCGGGTTTGCCCGCCATGTTAACCTATGATCGGTATGGTCAGGGTCAAACCACAGACCGCGATCCTGACGATGTGAAAGCTGAGGATCTCTTGCATGGTCATGACACATTGACCGTTGTCCGGGACTTGCATCAACTGATCACGCAAATCGCATCTGAGAAGTTGGGCATATCCGAACTAAGTGGTCTCCCCCTTGTTCTGGTTTCGAACTCAATCGGCGGTGCATTGGTGCGGCTTTACGCGCAAGAATACCCCGGCACAGTGGCCGGCCTTCTCTTCCTGGACAGTGTGCTCGCTAATTCCGATTTTGTCTCCATCTACCCGGATCCTGATTCACCTGACTTCGACGAGACCAGCTTGCCACACGGTGTGTCAGTGGAAGCCATCCGTGATGCCCGGGCATACATGCAACGGGTCTTCCACCCCAGCAATGGCAGTGGCGAGGGCCTCAGTCGGAGGAATCTAGCAGAACTCCTCCCAAAGAGCGATGGTCCCAAATTGCAGGGTCCCGATGGTCGAGGTCCCTGGGTGACAGTTATCGGTCACGAGTTCGAGACGTTCAAGGTCGAGTTTGAAAAGATGGGCGGTGCACCACCGAGGCTGACGGAAATGTATATGAACCCCTACTGGCACCGCTTCAATGAAGGATTGGCCAAGCTCACCGAATCGGAGCGGAGTAAGGGCCCGTTCCAGGCTCCGGGAGCCGGCCACTTTGTGCAGGGGGATAACCCGGAGCTCGTGGCGAACGAGCTTCGTGAGATGCTTGATAAGGCTATCTGACCTCCTGGATGTCTTAGCCTACGAGATTTCATACATGAATACAACAGTACAATGGCGGTGATATAGATACTTAGTGACCTAATGGTATCAGCTGGAAAAGGGTTTTACAGCTGGTCCCTTAGGTAGTATAATCGATCGATTAGTGTTGGTTGATTAATCGAAACCTTACTCCGATAGAGCAAATCCAGGTTTGCTCTTACCGAGCGCTCACAGTGTCGCGAGATTTACTATACACAGAACGGCATAGGGGGCCATCTGCAAGGCCTTTACAGCAGGCTCCTTACAATTGTAAGTTGGTACTAGTAAATGGGCTTGTGGTCTGTTATACTGCCTATCAGAATGTTCTTTTGGAGGGGTTTTAATGATTAGGTGCATACCTGTGGATGGTGTCATGTTTCGGTGACCACGGATATCATGTGATCCCATAATATCACCCCTCCATCATTCCCCGGAAATCTAGAAGGATCCTCATGTATGCGACGAAGCTTCCGCTGGAATTGGTGATGATCATCATGGGGTTCGCAGACTACAGACCACGGCACACCCTGGAAGTCCCGCATGATCCTCTCCATCCTACTAACCGCAAGGCGCTGGATCAGTACCTGCAACATTGCTGGCAGATTATTGTGTGGTGTGATATGATGATGAGGGGTCTTCGATTGGGCCCTTGGTGGGCTTTTGAAGTTGAGGATCAGGTCTCCCTGCTCTGGTATAGGTAGCAGTGCCGGTTCGGCACAAAGGAACCCAAGAGAAGCTATTTGCGGAGATGGTTTTCTTCCATGGTAATCCGGATGACTTTCTGATAATACATAATACAACCTCATATTATAATACATAAGCGCCTTATGTGAGATATAAGTGGGGCATGATTATCAGTGGGCTTTAGAGAACAGCAGCGATGAAAGCAGCAGCAGCAGCTCCTCCGAAGACGAGGCCCGCATCACTCTTGGCCAGAGCGGCCTTACCGGTGCCCGTAGCAGAAGCATCGACATTCGAGGCAGTCGCAGTCTTGGAAGAGGTGACAGAGCCAGCCGTGGCAGCACTAGTAGAGGCGGCAGATGCCTGCGACTGTTTCCCCGTAGCAGTAGCAGCGGAACCCGTGCTACTTGCTGTCTGAGCCTCAGTTGTAGCGTGGGCGGCGGAGGCAGCCACGCTCGTGACAGAGCCCGCCGTGATAGTCACAGGCATCAAATCCAGATCACCATCCAGGGTGGAGCTGCTGGTTCCTGGGAAATTGGCGCCGGATCCCGAGGCTGTTTCGGTACAGACGGCGTGCGTCGTTCCATCGACAGAGCAGACGCAGGTGTAGTAGCTATGCAGCAAACCATGTTAGTAATCACCCATGCATAGGTTGTAGACAACAACCAACTCACAAATCTAAATCCGGAGCATCCAGGATCATGGTGGTTTTGGGACCCGCGATCAGGGTAAGACCGGGACCCATGCCACAATCACTGGAATCGGTGCCGGGTGGGCAGTTAATACTGTAGGTTGTCGCGGTCGCATCCTGCATCACGGTTAGTTGAGGGGGGTATACCAGGCTGATAGAGACAAGGATGACTTGCGTTGCCTATGATGGACGCGGCCAAAGGCTGTGGATCGGTGTCGTAGATGAACATGGAGGTGACAGTGGCCTTTGCTGAGACCAGGCCGGCAGCAGTCAGACCGAGAAGGAGCGTACGGTTCATCATGTTGGGAACGAATGACTGGTTGCTGTGTTGGTGAATGAACGAGTGTATGAATAGAGAGAAGGTGTGAGAGCGATGCAAGAACGAAATAACTCAGAAAGAAAGAAAGGAGAAACTGCAGAAGAGGCGCGATGAATGGCAGCCACCTTCCCAATTCAATCCTTCTCGTGATCCTGACTCTTCGACAATTACAGAATTACTGAAAGAGGCAAAATAGTGACCGGATCTAAACTGCTTCAGGCCAGGTCCGGGCAAAATACTCCCCCGCTAGTCTCCATCAGGGAAAGCCGGAAGCCAATTCGGGGTCCAGACCCTGATTTGGGCGCATCGCTAATCCTTAACGGGCCCTAGCGTTATCGCGGGGGTGGAGACCCAACAAGCAGAATTTCATCTCTGCGAAGATGATAACGATGGCTGTGATGCTGCGGCTTGCCGTGGACAAGGCGATGAAATTCTTGCATGATGCCCTTCTTCGGCCCCAGTAGGAAGAAGGAACTAGATGGTAAATGAACAGAGAAAGTCGATAGTAACTATTATTCATCAGTTGTCGAACCCTTTCATATTTCTGCTGTTTCTGTGCTTTTAGACGGTACGGTATAACCGACGGCGACTATCTTTTTCTTGCCAGAGCACGCGTTGCTTCAGCTGTCGTCTGTTGCTGCGAGCTCAAGGGATTTGATGACACTGAGGGCATATTCATATTTTAGTACAGCAGCTGCATAGCAAGCACCTGCCTTGACGGGCGCGATTTAATTAAGAACATGAATCAGATTCACTTGACTGTGTATTATGAAAGAAGGGAGAACTCCTACAACTACTACCACCTTCCTAGAACATCGTCTGATAGGGCATTATATCTTCAGTTTCACAAACAATATAAATCAATTGCGCTCTACATAAGCTGCACACTAAATGATTCCATAAACTCGCTGATATCTCTTCCTCCATGAGCCCATGACACCCCTTGAAGCCTTTCACCGCTGGCAATGACTTGAGCTTGTGTGAAATGATGAGATTCACTTCATCTGTGAATAGTAGTGTCTTATTACCATATAGAACACCGGGACAGTCACTGCAGTCAGGCTGCACTTCACCGGATCTTTTCTTCCGAGTGGCTATATATACTGCGCTTCCGGACATCCCTTTGCCTTCCTCATCTTCCTCTTTTCATCAGCCAATAAGGGGACAGCAATCCATTTTCAGACACAAGCATTTGGAACTAGAGTTGCTACACCAGACAATTGCCGGGATTTAGTAGGGCTATGGGGCTGAAAGGGTCCACAAATACCGACGATTGCAATAGGAGGCACAGCACTTCCCCTTAGGGATGCTGAGAGACAACATTTGATTGTGGATATGTCTCACATACGTTGACCAATTTAGCATTTTCAGCCTCGGGGGCTAGCTTGTGGCTTGGAAACATCGAAAAGAAAGATTGGCCTATATTGAGAGGTCAATCTTCTCAAAGTCTCCGTCGCTTTCGAGACATCTAAGGTAGTCCATAAAAAAAAACAAGTTACAACACGGTACTCCTTGCCGATGATAGTACTGCGAAAACAAGGATAAAGCCGAAGGTAGCTAATCGTTCTTCGGGTTTAACGTTGACAGTACGAAAGTGCCGTGAATGGAACATGCCTTGCGTCATAAGAAAAGAACTCTAAGTGTCTACGGTTCTGCTGCGAAGGAAGGGCGCAGAAGTGGCACAATGTGATGTTTCTGGACGGCAGAAGCACAGAGAAGCGGGAGAAACTTTGTTCTACTCAACCCACTAGCACATCGCCTCCACTCCAAGGCACTATTTGCCTTGGAACAATGCGGGATCAGTGAGAAAGAAACAAAGCGGAGAGTTAGATCCTGGTGGTCAAAACAGTCGAAGCCGGTTGGACCTACCATTTTGTTCGAGATTCCGGCCAGCTACAATCCTGAGTCGGGAGGCATATGCCTCTAAAATTCATTGAGCCACCAAACCATCAAGTCTGGGAACTGCATCGTAGTGACGACACCAGATCCGGTGCGACTTCCTCTCCCTGATACCAGGATCCTAGACATGCAATGGCTTCTCCAGCGGCTTGCCGCACTTAGCGGAGCCGCAGAGCCTGAGGAGTTGGATGATAACAACAATGACGACGATGAGGGTATGGATGACTTTTGTCTCCAGCTCATGTCAGCACTGCAATCCTCAAGCGTGGCACATCGACCCGAATCTTCCCCTCCGTCGTCGTTGAGCGATGGATCAGGGTCCACAGTGAAGCACGGCTCGCGAGATCCAAGCACCGCAACTGATACAGAGATCGGGAACCTTGCTAACGATGACCCCTAGGATGTGGATATTGAAGCGGTCTGTTCCTGACACTGCCTTCCTTTTCCGTGGCCCTGAAGTAACATGATTTATCCCAATTTGCTAAAGAAGTATATGCGTTCTTTCTTCAGATTGTGATGTGATTGAAGAAACTCATATATCTGACTAGAGATTCATCCTATTTACATTGAACGTAGTTTCTACGGTCATGTGGCTTCCGAAATATTGATCTACTAGCATCAAGTTCCGAAAATGGATCTTAACAGACCTTGCATTGAGGATAAGCATCAGCCCATACCAGGTGTGCCTGACCCAGCCACGGCGATGCAATCTGCTACGATGCACTCTGCAGAAACACTCAGAATTCGAACAGAGCAATTGGACTCTGATGATCAGAGAGAACCCAAATCATCACCCGCAGACACACCATGCTCAAGGCCTGTCCATACCCCTCCGAAGCGTCCAGCAGAGCCGCTGGAATCTCAGGGCTATATAAGAGAATCAGGAGGGATGAGTCGGTCAAAAACGCTGTAAGGGACCGATACAAGTACCCAATCCTATGCTGACAAGTGTGAAGTGCAGGGAACGCGCTTTATCTTGCATTATAACGAAGACACCACTGGACTTGACTTTTGCAACGTCGAGCATCTCTATCATTTCCCTTTGAAAGACAGGGACCACCAGTCAACGGGAATTGTTATATTGAGTATCCATATATAAATTGAACCTATGGAGATCCTTGAATCCTTGCTATCTAGCGGCGCCCGGGGGGAGCAGTTGAAGATGCTAGAGTTCTTACACTCATGCGGCCTCTACCACTGGTGATCTACTGGCATCATCTTATGTATTATGCAGATCTGAACAGGATGATGTTCCCAAAGTTCTGTGCCAAGGCCAGACCTAGAAGAATATTCTGGTAACCCATATAATAAAATAGACTTTTTCCTAGTCCTCTTATATCTAGCCTACTTATGATAGCAAGAGGTCCTTCCTATCTCCATAACGCGTAATGAAAGTCAGCTGGATCTAGACAGCGTTGCCGCTCTCCAAACGCGTACAATCCCACCATCATTCCCGTAAAAGCCACTCCTATTGGCGGTGCTGCTGTCATACTGCGATTGTCCGCCTCGCCGATCCACTGGATCGTTTCGCTACTCGGCTCATCCTCTCTGATCTCCTGAAATCCGAACCGGTAGCGATCCCCACACTCGATCACCAAACGGACATCCGACTGCGAATTCCGCAGGCCGATGTCGACTATCTCACCTCCCGGAGAACGTAGCCGAACAATACGCTGCCCATCTTTCGCTCGACAAATCCCGATGCTGCTGTATGTGAAGTACGTCCACCAGACAACTGCACCAGCCTCGCATGCCTGGTTCCTCGGATGGAAAGACAGCCGTGTCTCCCATGTACAGAACCGTTGGGTCTGTTTACGAAGGAACAGAGTTGGACACGCCGGGACGGACAGATTATATGGACCACCGTAGAGGCGAAGGTAACCCGGTCGCTCGGTGAGAGAGTAGTCACGCACAACTGGAGTGTTCTTGCGGTACCATCCTAGCTGGAGCTCACTGTCCGAAAAGCCATCACGCCATGCAACTGGAACTGAGAGCTCATAGAGGTGGGGACTGTCGGAGTAAAGGGGGATTTTTTGGCCTCCGTTGACAATGGGCCAGTCGTTCTCCCAGCTTACCGGGGCTAGGAATGTTTCGCGACCTGTATCTAGCATGAGCACACTGTATACGGAATCGAGATTATGACAATTACTCACCAAAAACCGATTCCTCCCACTGTCCATCCTTCCGGACAGGACGCACACCTAACAAAACCGCCCACCACTGCCCCTGCGCATCCTCCACCAGGTCTGCATGCCCAGTGTTCTGGACGTCATCATCCACTCCATTCCTCCAGAGAGGATTATTCGGCCCAATCTCCCATGGCCCGAACGGGCCAGTAGTACTGCGACTCACCCACTCGCAATGACCGCTCTCCGTGCCGCCCTCCGCGGTGAAAAGATAGTAGTATTTGCCGCGCTTGAAAATATGCGACCCCTCGGCGACACCGGAGGTGGACTCTCTGATTAACTTGGGCTCGGAATTGGAGGCACCTGTATCCAAGTCCACGGTGACGATGTGGACGGCGAAATCCTTGAGATTTGCACCAGGAGTTCGTTGAAGTTTGCGATGCGTGCTTGAGAGATAGACGGTGCCATCGTCGTCCCAAAATAGCTGTGGTATGTATTAACTTTACTAATCTGAGAGAGAGAGAAAGAATGGGGGGAACGGACATCTTGATCAAAGCCTACTTGGTCGAAATACACCGGGTCCGACCACGAACTCGAGTCCCATATATCTCGGGTCTTCACATAGAAACCACGCGGCCAGACGCGGTCATCTTCCTGTGGTCGGTAACGCTGGAAGCTTGCGGCGAGGATGTAGAATACGCCATCGTGATACCGCAGAGTGGTGGCCCATACGCCACCACCAGGCTCGGGGGTCTGAATCTGGAGTTGGCTTGGACGGGTGAGGGCATGGCCGATCAGGGTCCACTGGATAAGGTCGGTGCTGTGGTAGATGGGGGCACCGGGGAAGTATTCGAACGAGGAGGTGACGAGGAAAAAGTCATTCCCGACGCGGATAATAGAGGGATCGGGATTAAATCCCGGTAGGATGGGGTTGAGGTACATTGTTAAACGTCTGTGGATGTGAGGCAGAAAGTACGGGGTAGTGCTGGCATGCACGCTATTTTATGTTTTCTTGAACGAGTGGTAAATGATTGGTGGAGAAATACGGGAAGGGACATTCAAATGAGGGGATCGCTTGCCAAGGGTTTGTTGTGTTCTCCAGTAAGATTCTATTTTCATCACTCCTCGTTGTCGTTAATTGAAGTCTTCTACCAGTATATTTGGTGTTTCTACTGATGTGAAAGTAGCATTGATCTACGCCGCAGGCTGTCGCCGACGCAGCCAACAGGGCCAGCCATACGGAACAGCCGTAAAATGGGTCTCAAAGCTCCACGGCTTCTTCGGGTCGACCTGCTCGATATCATAGTCGCGCAGGATAGTAGCAGTAACTTTGGAGATCTCAAAGTGGGCCAGGTTTCGACCGGGGCATTGGTTGTATCCAGCTCCCCACTGTGTCTGTTAGTAACCCTGTAGCGTATCTTCTGTAAAGACGATCCAACTTACATGGATGAGGAATGGGTCCATCTGTCTAGCCAGATCAGAGTCCAGCCATCTTTCCGGATTAAAGTCATCACAGTCAGGCCCAAAGAGGTCAGGGTTGCGGTGGAAAGCCCAGGGGTTGATGCTGAGAAGTGTCTGTTGCAACAATGTCAGCACATTTTGCCATCAATGGAGGATGGTAATGACATACTCCTTCTGTAAAATGGCGTCCACCAATGGTGAGACCACCCGCCGGAACAACACGAGGTAGCCCAGTGCCGGTCGCCGGGTGGTAGCGATAGGTTTCCTTGATCTACACTCATCAGTATGGCGACCGCGATCGAGGAAGGGCCACATACACAAGCCTGGAGGTAGGGCAGCTTTGCTGCCTCTGCGTACGAGACCACATGCGACAGAGCACCCCGGGTGTGTGCTTCATCCACCTCCTGTCGCAGCTTTTGCAGGTACTGCGGATGGCGGAGCAGGTAATAGAAGAATGCCTGCAGCGTGGCACTGGTGGTATCAGCGCCGGCACCGATATTGGCGACAGCCGCCCCAAAGACCTCCGCCTCGTCCATGCGATCGGGATACTCTCGTCGCACATGCAGCCAGCGCTCCATCATATCTAGTCTGACGTCGGGGTTCTTCTTCCGACTATCGATGGCAGCCAGGCAGGTGTCAAAGATGTGCGAAGAGGGCTGTAGACCGATCCGGCTGAGCAATGGATTTCCTAGGGTGAGATTATGCAGCCAAACGTAGTGCCCCATGATGGCGATGTACAGCGCCAATGCACGAGTATTGGCGATAGCATTGCGGATATCGGTGCCTGTCTCGAGGAACCGGAACGGGCTGGAGAAGGTGACTTCGCCGACCACATCAAAGGCGAAGTAGTTGAACCAGCGATCGAACTCTACCGGTTGGCCCGACGCGATCAATTTATCGAACTGTTCCTCGAGGAGTCCCAAAAGGGCATCCACAAAAGGCTCGGACTTGATGATGTTTGACAGAGCATAACCCGACGCCACATTGCGGGACTTGCGAATATGGCGCTGAGGATCCAATTCCGACATCTGGTTCACATAGTGATAGTCGGGCAGGCTGAAAATTGAATACCACGATCCCTGGTACTTCGTTTAGCGTGATTGTCTAATTATCGGGGCAGAAATACTCCGGTATCATACCTTGGCGATGTTGGCATGGAGCAGCAGGCGCACCGCATCGGGATGGGCGACGCTGACCTCGTTGTCGGCGATGCGAACAAAACTGCCTGTCTCAGCTATTAGTAAATGGTTTGTGTGATTGCGAACCGGTGGAGATGCACGGACCATATCGGCGATGGAGTTTCACGATCTCCTGTTCAGTGTGGCCCTTGATCAACTGGTAGACCTGCCAGAGGCTCGAAATCGAGGCCAGCCAGGGACCAGGGATATCCCGGATGGAGGTCGCATAGCGCCTTTTCACGGCAACTGCCACGACAAAAACAAACAGCAGGAAGGGCAGAGAAACTGGCAGGGATGTCAGACTCCCAGGGAGCCAGGCGGACGCAAACAGGACGGGCATGCTGGGTCCTAGGGGATGACCTTGCGTCTGCCTAAAAAATTCGAGACACCATCGAGTCGATCCTTGGCCCGTTATTTCTATTTATCGCGTTACCCTCTTCGGGGGGATTTGCAATGAAGGAGGCATGAGACGCACCGGTGCTGGCTAGTGTGCTGCTAATCCTGCGCTAACGGCCTCCGCGGCCGCTATCTGATTTTTTCCTGCCAGCAGGATTAAGCAGGCAGGCGTTAATCGAAGAGCCCTTGAGTGATCATCCCCTTTGTCATCCGGCATTACCGTGAGTACTCGACTTGAT